TGTCCATTATTTTAACATTTATAATTGATATTTAGGTACTTTTTAATTATAAAATGAGTTTTTTATTTATATATTCAAATTCCTCACCTAAAGATTAACTAAGTCACTTATTTTTAGATTTCACATTTTTAAAGACTTGGTTTTATAAGGAGAAATGTAAATTTAAAAATGGTGGAAAATGACGAAAACAATAATAGTAACCTTAATTGAAAAAACCATTACTCACGAACCGCTGGGAGTTAAACCTTGAAATTTTGGGATTTATCTTATTCTATAATGTGCTAACTATGGTTAAAATATAAAGAAAATCCAAGTACATAGGGTTGCATTTTTGTTGTTGTTGTTGTTGTTTTGACGTGGAATTACTCTGACCCTTTCCCTCACTATGGATCCACCTTTCATAGTAAGTAATTTTGTAAGTATTTGATCCCGGAAATTTTTTTAAATGAAAATCCCGGAAAATAATTTTATTAAAAATTGTTCCTATTAACTTAAAACAAAAACTTTCGTAAACTATTAAAACGGAATTTAGATAATTTAACTTTTTACTAATATTCGGAATTTCTAATATTGGATAAAGTTAATTTTAATAAATTAAAAAGCAAAAAAAAAAAAAAAAGAAAAAAAATTGTTACGAAAATTGATCTAGTAAAATTTTTAACTATAGAAAACATATTTGTTTAAATGCAAAAGTTTTTTTTTTTAAAAAAAAAAAACTTTTTATGTAAAAATATATAATTTTTTAAAAACAAACTAATAAAAAAAAAAAACATCCCAAAATTTCTGGAAAAATAAAGTGAATTTCCAGAAATCCAGGAATTCCTGGAAAAAACCATGGCCTTTAGTCTACTAATTTATTATTACTTTAGTCTATTAATTCATGGAGAGGAATGTTAAAGATTATAAGAGCTGTGATTTTTTCACTTTTGCTTAATTAAGTTTACATTAATTAATAAATTTTTTGATTTTTTTTCTGGTTTTCAATATATTTATTTTATCATTCTTTAAATATTTTACTTTTTTTAGGTTAACTTTAGTTATATATATATTATTTTCAGGATTTTATTCTCTTTTCAGTTTATGGATTGTTTATTTTAATTTTAATTTGCTTTGTTTTTTTAGTGTATTTTTTAAACGTGCTAATTATCAAAAATTGCAATTAGCCGTGGTCAAGTTGTTAAAACAAAGAACTATATGTGTTGTCATATAAGGCGTGAGATCCCATGCCTCTTACAAGAAGGCCTGTATCTACTAAGAAAAAAAACACAATCCTAAAGAAAGAAAACAAAATTTTGTATCTACTAAGAAAAAAAACACAATCCTAAAGAAAGAAAACAAAATTTTGATGAAATATCAAGTTTAAATAAACTAGAAAATTTAATAATTAAAAAAAGTAAATAAAAATTTTTTTTTTTTTTTATAAAACTTTTATAGAACTTTTGTATTCTTTTTTTAGAGTCGTTGTTGAAGAAAACATTTTTATTCACTATTTTTATCAGCCCATATAATTAAGAAACTAATTTGCTGTGTACGCTAGAACTATGAGAAATTTGGTTAACTTTTTTCCTTACATTTATTCATTTTATACGTCTTTTCACTTTTAAAAATGTTTTTGCTATATTTGACGTTTTTTTCTCAATACTTATTTAATAAGAAAATAAATTAATATTTATTCGTAAAATATATTATTTGATTAATAAATTTTGTAATAACGGAATAATTTAAATAAAAGAACTGGTTTCTTTAATAAATGTATTAAATGCATTTGATGTCTGAAATTGTTTATTTTATGTTGCTCAATTTCTGATGTTATTATGAATTACTAGAGATAATGAACATAACAATTGCTCTGTTTAAAAAAAAGTATTTAAAAACTAAGAAAAAAGGTTTTAAATGGGCTCTTTAAAATTTCGTTAAAAAAGTTCTGTAAATTAAGAATGCACTAGCCCACTAGCTTTTGAAGAATCGTCAATAACAATAGTTCATCAGGAAATAAATTATCAGGTTTAAATGCACAATTTGGATAATCCTACAAAAGTGCAGAGTATTTCAATAGAGGTATTGAAAACAACCAAACATTTTATATTTAAATATTATTATCAATGACTTTTTATTTTTTTACATGAAAAACTTGTTAAAACTTTTTTTTTTTTACAAATAAATAGCAACTAGTTTCTCGCTTTCCTGTGCATTGATAAAAACATTGATATAATTTAATATTCAATTTTTTTTTAGCTTAAATATTTAAGATTTTCTATTTCGTATATTCTTTGATTATTTTCTTCCAGTACTGCTGTTTTATTTTCTCTAATTTTATATGGCTTTATTTTGCAAGTTCTTAAAATGCTTACTATATAAAAAGGTGGTCAAGTTGTCTAAAAAATTACTTTAAGCGTTGACGAACAAGGCTTTATATATATATATATATATATATATATATATATATATATATATATATATATATATATATATATATATATATATATATATATATATATATATATATATATATATATATATATATACATATATATATTTAATATATATATATATATATATATATATATATATATATATATATATATATATATATATATATATATATGGGCAATTACATTTTTAACTTACATTACACGTGCAACAACATTATCAATTATTTGCCTATTTAAACTGTAAATTAAACTTTCAGCTATTTTGTATGAAAGCTATTAATTTAAAGAATAAAATAAGTTAAAAAGTTTTGAATCTGGTCAAAAGAGGGCGAACTTATTGCTGAAAATGCCATTTAACTTACGTTACACTGAAAACAAGGTAAAAATATTGCTTTAACTTTTAGATCAGATTTCTGCAAATCAGAAAAGCGGTTTGTATTAGAAACTTTCACAAGGTGTTAAGAATGCTATACCAATTAAAAAAATATATAAAAGTTTATCAGAGGTGACTGGCTGAGGAAAATAAACTTATTTTTTTGATACTATGTATTTAACTTACTATGTATTTAAACGTTACATCACTTACATTACTGAGAGATTTTTATTGTGGATTTTTTAATCTATAATTATGAGTTAGAGTTACATAATAAATAAACTGCAAAAGTATTTAACTCATTCATTAAAAATAGTTAACAAAGAAAACTGGTGGCACTCTTCCTGAGTGATTTTTCATAACATTTATAATAGTTATCAAATCGAAAACAGTTTTTCCGCAAGACCAAGAGCAACTTGGTCTTGTTACAATAAACCTCAAACTTAATGTTTTTTTAGTTTTACAAAAATGTTTGAAATCTTGAACAATTTAAATACCTCTTCAAGCACAAATATTAATTCTTTGTTTATTACATGGAGCAGAAATTTTAAACTGAAATTAAATTTGCTCCTCCTCTTTTATTACTTCCAATAATACAAATAAAAAGCAATACATAAAGTAACATATAAGTAACTACAACATGTTTTTTGTATTATTATTGGTGGTTTCTGCAACACCATGAAAATGAATTCAAGCAAATTGCAACTCTTGCTAAACTTTGATTATTCTATTGCAAATTGGCTTTTGACAAAAATTCTATTGGCTATTTGACAAAATTCTTACAGATTCACTACACAGTTCTCATTATTTTAATATTCCTATTTAGCCTTTTTTTCATTTAGCCAACTTTTTTCCCATCAACCTTTTTCTTTTCCATCAAAATGTAGAGGCTGTTCCTTTTTTTTTTTGTTCTACTATGCTTTTCAAGTTTTTTTGATACAATTCATGGTTGCCTTTGAAACAACTGATATTGTTGGTATTAAAAAGTTAACATTAGATTATCCTGCTAATGCTAGGAATATTTTGGCTGCTTTTCTCAAAGAAAAGCATGTCTTTTAACTATGACAACAGCAGCATTTGTTTTACTTTTTTTAACTTTGTTAGTGGAAAGTGCAACATCCTCACTGCCATTATCACTACCTGTGTTTTCATCTTTTGTTGATTCTGTTTTTTTAGTTTCAGGTGTTGTTGATGTTGATGCTAGTTAAAATTTTTTTCTTAATTGAGCTTTGCTGGATGAACTTTCTAATTTTTAATTATGTTTGTACAAAAACCAACTTTTCCTTTTTGATTCTTTTTAAAACTTATTAAAATATTGTCTTTATTGCAAACTCACAAATTTTTTTAATCAGTTTTTTTACGTTATGTTATTGTTGATTTAACTAGCATTGAAAAACTTCATTCCTTAACTCAGCAAGTTCAACTGCTATTACTTTCACTCTCTCAGTTCTGCTTTTATTTCATTTGCTTATGTTTTGAACCTATTTACAACTATTCGGATTTGTTGGAATTTTTCGTAAATTAATTAGTTTTTGTTAAACTTTATTTTTCATACTTCATATTTTTAATACTTTTATACTTTTAACAGCATTCTGAAAATCTGCAAGTTTTTGTTTTTATGCATTTTTACTGATCTCATTGGGAACAGCATTAAAAGACATTTATAAAATTGAATTATGAATGTTACTTAAAAATATTACTTTTTAATTAAAATTTGCAACAAAATATTTAAAATTGAAACTTTATAGCTTTTCTTTTTTTTATGATAAATATTATGAGTCATTCTTTTGAGTGTAAGTTTGTGAAACTAACTTTTTGAAAACTGAAAAAACCAAAATTTATAAATTCATTAAACACATAGAAGTTTAAAAACCCAAAAATTTAAGATGTCTTAATAACATCAAGAACTAAAATTTGTGAACTTTTGAAATTTGCGCATTTACTATAAATTTGTTCAGTTATATTAAAACTACGTTTAGGGGGGTTTTATACATATATTTTATTATAAGCAATTTAAACTATGTTTGGAGGAGAGAGTGTGGTGTGGTGATAAATTTATGTATTTTATTTTTATAAGCATTACTTTGTTTTTAAATGTTAACATAACAAAAACTCATCTTATATATTTGTTGGTTAATACATTTAAAAAAATTTACATCCCTATTAGGCATGTTTTGCTAAAATAATACAATTACCTCTACTTTGATAATGTTTAGAATATATTCTTTATTATAAATTTCAGGAAAATCAATTCTAATAAGAGATGTATCAACACTACTGGGTCCCATGTTTTGATACTAAAACAAAAATCATAATTTAATTTTTATATTTTCATTGTTTGATTAATAAAAATGCTTAAAAAATAAAAATATAAATAATTATATATGCAATATATTAATTATTTTGCATTTAATAAAACTTACAAAAAATGTATGGACAATTTTAGGACCAACAATTTTTGGTGAAGAAATTTCCTTTGTCCATTTTACTTGCTCAGGTTTTACATTGCTAATATATAAAACATTTTAATTTGAATCATCATGATCATCATTATGATGATTATCATCATCATTATCATGATCATGATGATTATGATTATCATCATCATTATGATCATCATCATTAAAATAAAATATTTACCCTGAAACAGTTAGATTAGCAGAAAGCGAAACTTTAACAATGAGAGTTGCATTGTTATCTTGAGGATTCATTTCAATACTTGATCTAAATGAGTAAAAACATCTATAACAACTTGTTACTAAAATTACACTCATAACTAGAAAATTCCTAAATTATAAATACATACACATTTTTTTTTAACATCCTTACTTCCAACAAGGCTGCAAGCAACCATTACTAGAGTTTAAAATAACATAAAGAAAAAACATGAAGTTTGTAAAGCAAAATAACAATTAACAGACAACTTAAAAGAATGCAAAATATATGATTCAGGAAGACAAGGAAGCAAACTCAAATGAATTAATGTTCAAGGGAAAAAAATAGACAAATAAGAATTTTTTGATTTTTGCAGCACTTAGAAACAGTCACAGTAAAAAGATGAAAGTTAAATGAGGAGTAATACGAGAATGAATTTTAGTAGATGGCACAAGAGATGCTAGCTCTTTAGAGCAGTGCCAATTTTTGTATTTATAGAAAAGAGAAAGAGAAGCAACATTACGACAATGTGACAATGTTTGAAGGTTGGCTGCAGGTCTAACATGATCATTTTGGTTCTAAAACCTTTTTGCATAAGTTTTATTTCATATTTGTTCAGATCAAATGAGTCAACATGTTAATTTGCCATGTTACACAACATCTTTGTTTCCAACACAACATCTTTTGTTGGTTCCAACACAACATCTTTTGTTGTTTCCAACACAACATCTTTTATTGTTTTTTGAAGTTTTGAGAAATTATATATGCATATTTTTACCACTTTAAAAAATTAAAAAAAAAACTAAAACAAACTTTAATTTAAAATTTTATACACCCTACAAAAATGAGTGAAACATTCAAAGAAATTTGAATTTGTTACCTAGTGATTTTTTGAAATGAAAAATAACATATGGAATTTAAGTTAAACAAAGTATTTTTGTGTAACGTAGCCAATAGTACTTCTTTATATATAAACTTGCAAATAATGAAAGTTAAAACTATATTTCTTCTTATTCCACTTTTTGATTAACTTTTTTATAAATTTTTAATTTTATTTAAAGAATTTTAAATTTTTATAAGATATTAAATAAAAATATGCTTACTATTTAACTATTAATATTAAACTACTATTAAACTATTATATTAAACATGGTAAACGAGAAGTTTCGAGTTCAATCTCTATCACTTCCCTGGTAGTACCACGGTCAACTTGTTTCTCCACACAGCAGCCTTGTTCGACAAGAGGTGAGAGAGGGTTATAAACACAAAAGTAGACTCCTCGATTATAGTGGCCCTCTCAGCCTTGGGGAGTGATAATTTGTGAATAATTAAAAAAAAACTATATGTATGCACTAAACTATATGTACAAAGGCTAGAAAAAGCGTATTTCCTATTATCAATATTATCTGAATTTTGTGTCTATAGTGGTTTCTATTTTTGTTTGTTTTATAATTGTACATATCTTAGTTACTGTGTGAGCCATTATATACTATATAAAAATGTTTGTGTTCAGCTTGAACTACTGGCACGGTGTTAGCATATTAATCCTGTTGACCAACCTCGCATCGCTTCTCCATCTATTAGACTGGCATAGATGTAAACCTGTGTTATTTTAAAATACTAATTGAGTCTACTAATAGATTTTTGTATGTCCCTCCTTGATAATGACAATGAAACTTTTCCTGTTATCTCCTAATGATTGTACAGCTCTAAAACTCAATACAATGATTCAAGGTTGGCTGGCAATAAGGTTTCTAAACTCTGTAGTAGATATAAGAGAGGCTGATTTTACCAACATCTGTAAAATATTAGTGTATTTCCAGTGTTGTGCATGAGTAGTGTCCCTATTAGTGCTTTTGATTTGCAACATCGAGACCACATTAGGAACCCTGAGTTAAAATTTTAGGTTAATTAGCAGGATTGAAATAATGGCATAGCTCATTGCTTGGGATGCCATGCTCAATCTATGAATATGTCAAGTTCTCATCAACTTGAATCATGATCAAATAAACAAAAATATTAAACATAAAAAACCATCAACATAATTTAACTGTTTCAATATATCATTAACAATTATTTGTGGTCTTTGAAGAACCTTTCCATTAGTTGGATCTTATCTCATGCAAAATTCAATAGACTAACTTGTTCCCTTCTAATCAAACTGACTGACTGCTTTCTCTTTATCATTCTGCCAATATTTTTATTAGTGACTTTAATGTTCATGACACTGAATGGCTTAGCTCTAACATGACTAACCCTGCTGGCACTAAAGCTCATAACTTTTGTATTTTTTACTCTTTTACTCAGATATCTTTGTGACTTGTTTTGCAGAATATCTAATCATTTACTTGATTCTTATATCTATTACTTGATTCTAATGCAGAATATCTAATCACTTACTTGATTCTAATATCTATTACTTGATTCTAATGCAGAAAATCTAATCACTCCTTGATTTGCATCTTGTTTTTAACCCTAGCTTGTGTTCAGCTTTTCATTGTTGTCCTTAAAAAGGTTCTGAGCATCCAATGATCTCTATACATTTTATCTCATACTTTTTCTATAAAATCATTGCAATACTTACTACTACGCTAAAGCTGACTGGCATTTTTTTCGCAACTTAGTTTAGACAGTCTTTAAGCTGGTTTCTTTTGGTTTTCTGCTGACGATTGCACCACCTACATAACACCGCATAAATCCAGGCATGTATGGAAGCTTTTATTTATTCTTGCCAGTTTAAAGTAAAGCCTAATTCTACTCTATGGATCTCATTTACTTGTGCAGCTGCTATATCTAATTGTAGGGGAGAGTGGGGTACTATGACATATTGGGCACCATGAAACATTGTAATTGAGGAAGCATCTTAAGAAATGGAATAACCATTTTCATATGGCAAATGTTACTATTAGAGCTATATTTTGAAAAAATTATATATTCGATATCATTAGGCTTGCATTTTTGTATTTTTTGGATGATAAACTAATTTATTACTTTTCAAAGTCACAAATGCTTTTGAAATGTTAAGGGCTATTACTCTTGACATTTCAAAAGCTATTAATATAGTCTGGCATGCTGATCTTCTCTATAAGCTTACTTTATGTAATGTATTTGGGAAAGTTTTTGCAATTATTAAACCATTTCTTCCTAACTGCAGAATTAAAGTCATTCTTGAAGGCCAACACTCTAATTCATTTCAAGTAGTTACGGGGAACTGCAATCTTCTATCATTGGTTATCCATTGCTTCTTATCTACATTAACAATAGAGTGACTCTGCCATTACATCAATTTTTCTATAAACACTATCGTGGTCGCTGCTCAAGCAATCTATCATCTTTAGTTCCATTTATTATTAACCAAAACTTATTCTGAATTGACTTATCATTTAGCCAAGTTTCATCTCTTTACTCTATCTGTCCCTTCATGCTCTAAAAGCATTTATTCATCTAGTTTTTTTATAGGAAAATCGATGCTTCAGAACTTTTTCCCACCTTAGCGTTTTTCTGACTTAAACAACCAACCCTCAGAATTAGGAAAAATGAGGTCGGCAATAATTTGCCGACCTCAATCTTTTTGAGGTCGGCATCAGGTCGGCAAAAATTATTTGATACAAAGGTCTGACCATTAAAAATAAAACCGAGGTCGGCAATTTTTCGCCGACCTCAAACATTTTCAGGTCGGCATTGCCGAATGCCGACCCTAATTTCGAGGGTTAAACAACCATCAACATTTAAAGCTTTCTATCAACTGTTTCCTTTCTCTTTTACAATATTTGTTGTTTTCTATTAGCTCTTAATTTAATAGTTGCTTGCAGCATTGTTGGGGGTGGATTAGTTTTTTAAAAAAATAGTTTAAAGCCAGTTAAAGACAAAAAACTTCACAAAAAAACAGGTAAATTCAAAAACCTTATTTTAGATTGACAATTATAAGATATGAAAGTTTCTTAATGTGTCATAACAATTTATCAAAACTTGAAACTATAGACATTATAAAGGATATCTTGATAAACAACATAAAAATAACAACTTAAAGTAAAAAACAATGTAAACAGTAAAAATATCATTAAATGATAGCAAACTTACGTTGATGCGATAGCAGTAAGCTTTAAAGTTTTGGTACCCATTTGCACAAGTTGGACACCAAATTGAATATTTACATATTCGATCATTTTAGTTTTAATTGGTGAAGATAATGTTATGGAAAGTGTATTAATATCACTGTCTTGTGAAACATTTGGATCCCATATAATTGAGCCAGAATACTAAAATTAAATTATGACAATCAAAAAACTGCAGAACCTATTTATAAGCTAAAAACTAAACAGTAACTAAGTTTACAAACTTTTAATGTTCTTTTATAATTATTATAAACATTTAATGCTCTTTTAAAATTATTATAAACTGAATTAATCAATTTAGTTTATAACACGATTGACCGGGAAGGCAGATTCTTTTTTTTTCAAATAAACAATAAACTAAAATCAAATCTTGATTTTGCAACAAAATATCAAAATTAAAAGAAAATAAAAAGGTAACGAGGAAGAAAACTTAAAAAACTTTTCTACATAAAAAACTGTTTCTTCATATTAAACAAACTTTTTGTTAAGTTTTAAATCTAAAAGAAGAGTTTTAATTTTATTTAAACAAAATATTTAAAATTAAATTATTTTTAAACACTATTTAAATGTGTTTAAATAAAGTTAAAACTCCTCTTTTATATTTGTGACTTGGCGAAAAATTTGTTTAATATATAAAAACATTCTACTTTAAAAAACTAAATAAAAAACAAAATAATAAATTTTTTTATAATTATTACAAAATAATAAAAAAAAAATTACAAAATTTTAATTTGAACTCTGCATTACAACTTTTTATGAAACTTTTAAATTTTTTATTGAACAGATTAAAGTAATATAATAATTTTTTTATCATTTTGTTTATGAGTTGTTGTTTTTATTTGTTTAAAAAAAAAATTTTGTTGACAATATGTTTATAAATGACTTCATGTTTTGTTAAACTTATGAAGTAATTAATAAACATAGTAAATATGGTAAGCATAATTTGTACGTAAAATTAATTATTTTTTTTATTATTAATCACTGCACCTATCACCTATCTACGTCAGTGGATGCTTGTACACTGATCCATTGCGCCCATCCTTATTTATGTCAGTTAATATATGTACACTCCACTGCACACACGCCCATCCCTATTTATGTCAGTTAATACATGTACACTCCACTGCAGCCACCACGATACCTGTTTAATGCATCTATTAAATTAAATCTTAAATACAAAAAAATAAATACAATTATTATTAAACAATAATAATAAAACTATGTACACTTTAAAATTTTATACTTTTATTCAGAACAAGCTCTGACATAAGGATTTAAGCATGCACCTTTAACTCCACAAATTACAGCAATATTTAGAGTGCCACACAAACTTATCATTTGTTGAGTGAATTAAAATTATATATATTTTCTGTGTAAAAAAACTTTTTTGTTGTGGATTCATTATTTGTATAGACGTGCAAATAATTACTTATCAAAAATGTACAAACAATTTTTACCCCTTCTATTTTTACTTGGTTCGGGCTCAACTCTTTTGGATACTGAACATGTAAATAACTGGCAAACGCATTTTCTTTTTTATTTGTAATTTGTGCTTTAACATCAAGAACTTCTGTAATACCAACTCTTATCAAAGGTCTATAAACAAAAAATCATCACATTAAACTATCTCAAAATTATTTATAGAAGCAAATATAAAATACTTACTCATTTGTACTAAGTGTCACAACAAGATCAGAGTTGCATTCATCATTCCCATCATCACTACAGCCAGTTATATATGGAATCTAAACATGCATGCGTGTATATGTGCATATAGATGCATTATAAATATATACATATATACATATACACATAAATATATATAAATTAACACACAAATGCAGAACTAAAAGTGGGAAGGATGGGGGTAAGGGGGAATGAGTATGTATGTATTTATGTATGTATGTATGTATGTACCTATGAATGTATGTATGTATTTATGTATATATGGAATGATGAGGGTTTGGTTGACATTTATGATCAATTTTTAGAAAATAGAAAATTAATTTATAAAAGAAATAATTGGTGGGCCAATTTTCACTTGTTATGTCAATATATACATATATATATATATAGATTTTTTATTCAAAAGAAACATTTTTCCAATATATACTTTTAAAATTTTTTTTTCACTATTTACAGCTTCCTAAATAATGTTGAGTGTTATACTAAATATGATTAGTTTCAAAAAAGGGTTTTACTAGGTTACAAGGTAGAAGAATAAACCAAGGAAAAGTTCAAATTGCTAACATTTATTTTTCTTGAAAAAAATCTCAAGTTCTTATAAAATCTAAAAAATTGTTTATTGCTAATTTATTTTGGCTTCTAATTAAAAAATCAAATTTCTTTTCAAGTTTAAATATTTTTCTGCCGCACAATGTGTAGAATAGATTGATACTAACAGGTCAGAAATTTCAACCAAGCCTTTATCATATACAGTGGAAGCATTACATTGAATTAGATTGCTAAAAATATAATTTTTAAGTTTTAAATATAATCTTGCTCAGATTAATTAAATCTTTGTATCCCAAAACATATCCCAAAACATATCCCAAAACATATCCCAAAACATATCCCAAACTGTATCCCAAAACGTATCCCAAAACGTATCCCAAAACATATACCAAAACATATCCCAAAACGTATCCCAAAACGTATCCCAAAACATATCCCAAAACATATCCCATAACATATCCCAAAACGTATCCCAAAACGTATCCCAAAACATATCCCAAAACATATCCCAAAACATATCCCAAAACATATCCCAAAACGTATCCCAAAACGTATCCCAAAACGTATCCCAAAACGTATCCCAAAACATATCCCAAAAGGTATCCCAAAACATATCCCAAAACATATCCCAAAACGTATCCCAAAACATATCCCAAAACATATCCCAAAAGTGCTGAGACAAGTTGTGTGTAAACAAATAAAAAACGTATACCAAAAAAAAAAATCACTTCGTCGAAGCTCACTTCTGTTTTAGTGTGATTTTTAAGTTTTCAAAATATACGTCACAATCTACAGACTTAATAATTTATTCAAGCGCATTAATTCATGAGTTTCAGTATAAAAAATGCTGTCATTGTAGGATTTTTTAGAAACATTAATTTTTCCACATTAAATCAGCCAATTACTTTTATCTGTATTATTTTTCACCAAAAACTCTAAATGTACTTGGATAAATTATAAAATCTGTAGATTGCCCAAAAAAATATATATTTGAAAAACTTTTGTTCCCAGGCTCAAATGACCATGATTTTTTTTTTTTTGTAAAACATTCTGATTTGACCTTAGCATGTTTAGCAGTTTAGTACAATGCCTGAAAGTGTCGTATCTTAAACATTAGCATTTATAGATACGACCTGAAAGTGTCGTATCTTAAACATTAGCAGAATAGCATTTAAACAGGAAGTGCATGCCTCCTTTCTTGTTAATGGAGCATATATTGCCAGAGTTCTAACCATGGACCTTTAGTTCTAAAGCCAGAACTTTAATCACTACTTCACACATGGTGTAGTGATTAGGATTGTAGTTGTTCGAATTTGAGATTTGAAGATTTGAGAGTGATTTGAGAAGTGGAACCAGTGGATTGATAATGACTAAATTTGCATAGACATTTAATGTATATTCATTTTTAGTCAACTAAAATCTCATTGAGAGAAAATACTGTGATATTAGTTATAAAAAATACTTGCATGAAGTTGAAATTTTAGTTCGGTCAAACTTTTTTGAATCAATCTTGAAAAAGTGACAACAGTGAATAAAACAGTAAAAAAGCAACTATAAAAAAGCTCACTGGATTTTATATCTGATTATGTACAAGTATATGATATTTAACTTACAAGTATATTATGACACATTTGTCATAAATATTTTGACCATTAAACAATGACTGATGCTATTAAATACTCCAGAGTAATTGGCTTACACAACCTAACAGAAATGTATTACTCGACTAAACAATATTTAAATCTGAATGTACTCCAGAATAACTGGCTTACACAATCTAACAGAAATGTGTTACTCAACTAAATATTTAAATCTGAATGTACAAATAATTAAAGAGATGATGCTTAGATGTGTCTAATAGATCAGAACTTCAAAAATTCTTTTGATTAGAATTATCAAAACATTAATAATATTTAGAGTGGCCTTATGCTCTGTCCATACCTCAACTACTTATTGGTACTAACTCTTTCTTTTTTGTTATTATCTATTAAAACTTATTTTTCCTAAAATTTCACATGCTGGTTGGTTGTGTGGTTCAAAAAATATGTTTCAAAAAAATCAAAAAAATAACCCGCAATATTTCTAAAGATTTTATGCTAATTTTTATTTTATGCTGGATGGAAACCTTTATGTAAATTTTTGGTGCTTTTTTGTGAGTATTTTCATAAAAAAACAATTTAACAATTTCTGAAAGTTCTTATATTTTTTTGGTTGATAAATATGACAACAAAATTATACTTTAGAACAACACAAAATCAAATTCACTTTAAATTGCCTTGCCTTAAAATTTTTTGTTTCATTAATGAATGAAAAAAGTTGTTTACTTGATGACATTTTTTATTTGTTTAAAAATTACAAATTCGCCAAAAATATTTCATGCTCAAAATTGGGGATGTTATAAACTAAAAATTGTGGTAGCAATTTTTTTTGGAGTTTTTTTTTATTTTGAACAATTTGATAACTGGTTTAAAGAGGTAATATCACTTTTTAAAGATGTAATGAAAGATTTTACTGTATCGATTTGATTTATAAATTAAAAAATTATTAGTTAATATAAACTTGATTTATTTTTTAACAAAAAAAAAAATTAAATAAAAAACTTTAACAACGACTACTAAGTCATTTAAAGCCTTATGAATGGAAAAATCATACTAAATATATATATTAATAAAAAACATAGTGTTGAATTTACAAATTTTTTCAAGTTAGATAATACTTACCACTTTTTTGTCAGATAAAGATAATATTTGGTTTGCAACTGGACATAGATTGTTAATGCAAGAACTAGGCTCTTTTACATTGTAAGTGAGTTCCAACTCTAGTTCTCTGTATATATCCCTTGTATTATTCTGTTAAATACAAACAAAAATAATTTAAAAACATGCATATATATATATATATATATATATATATATATATATATATATATATATATATATAAGTATAAATATACAATTATATATATATATATATATATATATATATATATATATATATATATATATATATATATATATATATATATATATATATACACACACACACACACACACACACACACACACACACACACACACATAAACTAATAAATAAGTTGTTATGAATGTCTTCATAAAAAAAAAATTAATTTTAAAAATAATTTAGTATAAATATTCAAGATGTCCTTTTCAATACAAACATACATACATCTATATACACATGCATACATACATACATACATACATACATACATACATACATACATACATACATACATACATACATACATCAGGACATATCATAAAAATATGAAATTAAACATTAATAAAAAAACTTTTGATGTTACATCACAACAAAATTAATTCTTGAATTTAGTGGCAAAAAAATGCATAAATAAAAATTGAAAAATCTTTATTATTTTAAACATTGATTTAAATGTTAATCACACAATATTTTAAATTTGATATATTATTTTTTAAAAAAAGTTTTTGTTTGGTATGTAGAAACTTTTAAACAATTTTTCATACATTATGCTGAAATAGAAACAAAAAAACCAATCGTATAAGGAAAGCTATAATAATTAAACCATTTGTTTTCAAATATTAAAAAACTTTTTATTAACATTTATTTTATACCTAAAAAATATATATATATATAATTGGATCAGAGTAGTTAAATATTTATACAAACATATTTTTATAACTAACTGCATCATAAAATGCATAAGCTTCTTTTTTGACTTTTATTATCTTTCAAGTTTCCCTGACTTCAAGATTGCTTTTATTTGGACTGCCACCTTTGATCTATGCCTCAGATAGATTTGGAAACATGAAACAAATTTTTCGTAAATCTTCTCCTCCAAAATGTAGAGCATTTACAAACTGTTTTACCAATCCTAGTTTGGTACAAGATTTCGTTGGAATTTACTGAAGGTTGTAAAAAGGCTTAGAATACTGAGCAGCCATAGCTGTAATTCTAATTGAGGGTGCCAATAAACATTTGTGTAATGATCATCATCAGCCTTGCTGTCCCATCTTGAAATCACTACAAATATCTGACTTGAATTCAGAACAATCAATTCTTTTTTCTGTACTGAGTGTGCAAGAAGCAAAAATATATAATTATTTCCATTGTGGAGCAACACTGCCTTGAGACTATGTTGAGCTATCTATGAACAGTTGCTGTTGAGCAGGATCATGGTTAATTCTAAGAGAAGTAAACAAACCAGACACATATTTAGAATAACATAGATCATTACAAAAGGTATAGTGAATTTCAAACTTTTATGTCATTTCTAGTACACACGCCTTCCTCTAGTAGAGAGATTTCTACCAGCCTTGATGTACCAGGCTCGGTGATAAAACTTCTGACTAAGTATGATCTAAATCTCTGATTAAATCATTTAGCTCACTTTAAATCGGAAAGTGAGGCTGAACAGTACTAATACTTTTTCTATGTCTTCAATATCGTTACCATACTCTGAGATTGGCAAAAGGTATAGCCATTTTTTTCTACTTCTATCCTTCTAGAGTATTTTGGCAGGTTCCAAATATCATGAGGGACTGCATTTGTCCTAACCATCCATAGGCATTCCAAACTATTTTCCATAACTATCCAGGGCACTTTTCACAATCTTATATAATACCTTTTTCAATATAATATTCACATACATAGCAAAATAATCTTAGGAATTTTGACATCTTTTAGTAGCCATTATGAAAAAAACAAAACTTACCCAGCCATATGCCCATAAACGTTTTTAAACCAAATTATTTTGGTCTAGAGCACAAACTTTAAATGCATATTTGATAAAATGTATGTTTTTTTATACATTTTATAAAAGATTTTGAAATGTGGAAGCAGAAAACTTATGTATTTAAAATACCTTTTAATGACATATTTTGATGTCTATAATATACGCATTTTTTATCTATCTTGTAACCTATTACTTTTCTTTCCCTATCCAAGTGAGAGCTAATTAAAAAGCACACTAATAACCTCACAAAAAATGTCTTGTGAATAAAATACTTAATGCTTTATAATTAACTAATTAATACAAAACAAATTATATACAATATATAATTTATACAAGATCTTTAAAAAAACTAATTTATACAAGATCTTAATTATAAAGATCTTTAAACATACTCCTTTACTTTTTAAAAACAAAAACCTTTTACTAAAGTAAATGACTAATGTTCAAATTAACTACTGTTAATTGTTTGAAATAACACTAACATGTTTTTTATTCAGTTAAAAAACAAAGGTCTGAGTAGCAAAGTAATTTCAAATGTTTTCTAAATGTAACTTTTTATTTTATATGGCTTTAACTTTTATATATTTTTATGACTTATTTTGTATTTTCTATATAAACTAAAACTTAAATATTAAAAAAGTTTGTTTTCAACTAAAATATTATTTGTAAATAAATATTTTAGTTGAATGCTTAAAGACATTTTACATCAAACATTTGATCAATTCAAAAAAATGATAACTTCCATTGCAAACTACATCTGCATCCATGATTTTCCTCACATAATGCTGCAATTTCTATTTGAAACTATTACTTCCATATCTATCAGCAAAACAATTTGCCAGAAAACAGATGTCTGTTTATTACTGCTAGGAACCATTGTAAAAAGGTTTTGTCTAATGCCAAAGCCCGCTATTGTCAGGTCATGAAATCTCACATTTCATAACAAAAATTGGGCTGGAGAATCTTTAATAGTATCAATAATAAGGGCAAGTCTATAATTCCACCTCTTTTGTATGGTTTAGACTTTGTCACCTCACCTAAAGACAAAGCTGAATTGTTTGCTAAGAACTTTTCATCAATATCATCTCTTGATTCCACAAGTTGCGTTCTACCTGATATAGCCGTCAAACAGGTTGATCAATTGCTTGACATTTTTATCACTTCATCTTCTGTATCTAAAGTGATTTCCTGCTTAGACTCTTCTACAGCTTGTGGCCCAGACAACATATCTGTTATAGTCTTGCAGAAGTGTTTTCCGAAGCTGTTGTCTATCCTTTCAAAACTATTTAACAAGTGCTTATCAGTCTTGTTTTCCAGCCTGCTGGAAAGCAGCATCTATTTTTAAAAATTCTGGAGAGTGATCTGATTTATTTAACTACCGTCCCATTAGTCTTCTTCCAATCATTAGCAAAGTTTTTAAATCTTTAATTAACAAACAATCTCTCATCTTAAATCTAATAACTTACTTTCTGATCAATATGGATTTTGATATTCTCGTTCTACGGCTGATTTGCTAATAATAATAACCAATAGGTTTTATTGTGCATTAGATAAAGGTGGAGAGGTTAAGGCCATCGCTTTTGACATTTCTTAAGTATTTGATAAAGTTTGGCATGCTGGTCTTCTCCATAAGCTTTCTTCTTACAATGTATCTGGAAACGTCTTTAAGATTAGTGAATCCTTCCTTTCCAATTGTAGTATAAAAGTTGCCCCTGATGGACAGCACTTTTCTTCTTATTCTGTAACCTCAGGGGTTTCCTAAGGTTCAATCCTTGGCCCTATACTCTTTTAAAGTTACATTAAAGATCTTCCAGATATTCTCACATTAAAGGTGGCAATGTTCACTGATAATACTACCATTTATTCTTGTCATGATAAAAAACCAACACTTTCTGATAGCTTGGAGGGGGCATTTGAGCTTGAAAAGGATCTCACTTCTGCTACAGCTGGGGCTCACAGTGGCTGGTGAACTTTAATTCAGATAAAACTAAATTTTTTTTCAGCCAATCGTTATCCCAATAATTTAGACCTGCCTATATTTATGAACAGTAATGTACTCGATGAGTCATCTACCCTTCATCTTCTAGGATTAACTCTTACTTCTGATCTTTCTTGGAAACCATATATCAAATTCATTGCAAAATTAGCATATGCTAAAGTCGCATCTCTTTATCGAGCTCAATACTTTCTTACTCTGGATTCTCTATCTCTATAAATCTCAAATCTGGCCTTGTATGGAATACTGTTGCCATATCTGGGGCTGATCTTCTAATGATGCCCTTTCTCTTTTAGACAAGGTGCAAAAACACATTGAAAACATAGTTGGACCTGCTCTTGCAGCCAACCTTTAACCATTATCACATCGTCATAATGTTGCTTCTTTTTTTCTTTTCTACAAATATTATAATGGACACTGCTCTAAAGACCTAGCGTCTCTTATGCCATCTACTAAAATTCATTCTCGTGTTACTCGTCATTAAACTAAGTCTCATCCTTTTTCTGTAGCTGTTCATAAGTGCTCCAAAAACTCTTATTTGTCTAGTTTTTTTCCCCGAACATCAGTTCTTTGGAATTCGCTTCCTTCATCTTGCTTTCCTGATTCATATAATTTGCAATCTTTTGAGTCGTCTGTCAATCGTTATCTTGCTCTACAATCTTTATCTTTTCTCTTCCAGTAACTTTCAACTCTAATTAGTGGTTGCTTGCAGTCTTGTTGGAAGCAAAGATTTAAAAAAAAAAAAAAATTAATTTCTCTACTTTACACCTTACTTTATAAAAAATTTTGTGAGCTTTTTTTATTTATTTTAAATTATGTTTATATACCAAATAATTGAAAAGTTTATAAAACTTCGAACAAATCTATTAAAAATTTTCTGTAATGGTGTTAAAACTCATAATGGTGGAAAAAGAAGCAATTTTTTAAGCAATATTTTTATCCAAAAGTCAATCTAGAAATATATGATGAAGTCTTTTATAAAAAGTAGATATTAAAAAAACAGAGCCTAATATATTGGCAATCAGAATTCCAAAACATTTTTGTTGATGTTATTTATCATGGCCTGGCAGGTGGTTCATTGTTATATGGTATATTAGCAAAAAAATAATATTTTTTTAAAGAATAATATTAAAATATATAATACAGTGTTCCCAACAGATAAAAAAATTGAAATTCCAAGACTTTCCAGGACAATTTTTTCTTTTTTCAGGACATTTGCTTTATTATTTCCAGGACTTTTCCAGGACTTACAAAAAAAAAAAAAAAAAAAAGGAATAACTCCAGGACTTTCCAGGACTTTTTTATAGATAGCTCTAAATAACACAAAATAAGCTACTAAATGTAAATTAATATAGAAATCAATTGTAAATTAAAGAAATACATTACAGCTACACAAATATAGATACATCACTACAGCACGTAACTAAGTGTAAATTCAAATAATATTTGACAAGGAACTATTTTTTATTTGAAAGGAAACTTTTAACGCAACAAATTTCAAAAACATCAGAATCATTTCAAAAACTCATAATATAAATACCTTTTTATTAAAACAACATAACAAAAACATTACTCAACAATCAAGTGTACAAAAATATGCTTTAAAATTAAGCAGTGAATTTATCATTTTCATGAATCATCTTTTTTTCTATATTGTAAAATCCTCAATTTCTCAACAGAGTTTAATTTTTTTCATTTGATTCCTTCAAAAGAACAAAACTACTTTTCTGCATTTATGGCTAGCATATCAGACTGTTCTATCAAAGTAGTTACTTCACTTTGTAAGATTCTGCTCTAACTACCTTTTTTGTTACTATCAGGGGATTCTTCAAAGGAAGACAAATGATCTTCAATAAGATGTACGGCAATAAGAGATTTTTCTTTAAAATTTTTTACAAGAAGTTGTTTATTAATAACAAAGCTACGCTCAATGGAAGATTGTCCATATGAAAGCACAAAAACCATTTTAAAAACTAAACATCTTGATAAGCTTGATATGCTCCAATGAAATCAGAGAAAAAATGATCAAGACTTTTTGATATCAAAATCTTAAAACTGTTTTCAAAAATTTACTATTTTCACAAATTTATAATATTGATTTTTCACTAGTTCGGCAGAATTTGGTGACAACACCCATATTTAACTAACTTTTGCAACAGAATTGAAAAAATATTGATACAAATAATCCTTATATTCAGATTTAAAATGAAAATTGAGTTAATAGATACTACAGTGCGTACTATGACAAACTTCAAAAGGGACTTCTCAAGGAGATGTGTCAACAGACCAGCTAAAAACTGGCCTGCCTCTTTTTTAAATATAACTACTCTTTGGTCACTATAACTTAAATTAGCTTCATCAAGTTTAGATTGCTACACTTATTTAAAATGTCTTTTAGTATGATTCTCCTGAGAAAATTGTAAACTATTTCACCAAGTATAATAGCCATAAAAAGAACTATAGGCTTATTTGTTTGAAAACATCTCAAAAAACTATTTTACTTTTCAGAAACCATCTCAAAAAATTTAAGTTTTGCTGGCAAAACAGGATCATAAATCATGGCTTTTAGTCTTTGCCAGCTTTTATTTATTGAATCAGGTTGTTTGCTTTTCTTAAGAATCCTGAAATATATTACAAACTTTTTGTATCCATCAAGTAGTGATTCAGCCTTTTGTGCACATTTTTCATTTTCACACCACCTATGCCAAATAAACTGCATTGGATACTCAAGTGTCCCAGTGATGTTTTCATAGGCTGCTCTTCTACTTGGAGAGTCATGTAGAAATTGCCACATTGCTTTTAATAGATTATTAAGGTCCCAGCCACTTGCTTTTGCCCCTGCTTTAAAACTGCCATGAATGATATGGAGACCACAGGTTCCAATATCTATAAGAGGATCAAGTTCTTTCTCTTTCCACTGTTCTTTTAAATTATCTAGAAAAAGCAAATTTACATTTGGCTTATCTAATGACACTTGTAGCATCTTTGATTTATTTATATAAGAAATACAGTTTAGGAATGTTTGCATAACATCATGTGCTGTCGAGCACCCCATAAACTCTGAATTTAGATAACGTGTTTTAACTATACTTGTATTGTCATCCCAAAATCTTATTAAAAGTTCCATTTGACCCTTCTAAAAAACTTGGTTCATAGATTCATCAAATGAAACAGCAACATTAAGTATAGAATACACAACATTAGGGACCCAACAAACTTCAGCTTCAAGTGTAGATGTATTTATTAGCATTTTATTAATTGTTTTTTGGTGTTCTGATATATTTGAGCATTCTAACATATACTCATTAACTTGAACAGTGTTAGAAGCAGTTGGCATCATTGACTTGATATTGTTAGCAGAAGGAGATATCTCTATGTGTTTTTTACCTTTCATGTGTGAAGTTAAAGCAGCTTCTCCCATGTTAACAATATTAATGTTTTTACTACAATAATTGCATATCACAACAGTTTCCGTTTTTTTACATAAACAATGTTTATATTTTTCTTCAACAAGCCATTTTACTTGAAAAATACACTTAATTTCAGACATTTTCTAATTATTTTATCTGAAAACAAAACAAAAAAACGTAAACATTTTAGGAGCCAAAAAGAATTTAGAATCTCTAATATTTCATACTTTTTAAAATTATTTAAAACTAAACAACAATCCAATAATTAAATACTAATTGAAAAAGTATATATAAACTGTCTAAATAATTATGATTTATGAAATGATGATATCTTTCAAATAATATTTTTAAAACAACTTAACTATGCCTTATTATTGATGTGTAAGTTTTTTGAAAAATCTTTAAATTTCAAAAAAAATTCAAGAATCAGATATTCCATAAAAATTATACATTAGAGCAATTATATTACTATAATTTACTATAATTTATATTTTAGTCGTATTGTTTTTTTTTCTTAATCTTTACTTAAAAACAAACAACAAAATATAAAATATTATCCTATTTTCCAGGACTATTCCAGGATTTTACAGAATAATCAAAACAATCCAGAATTATCCAGGACTACTTTCAAATTTCAGGACTTTTCAAGACTTTACAGGACTGGTGGGAGCCCTGTAATACAAAAAACACTGAAAACCCCATCATACTTCTAAAATAAATGCTTAAATTAATTATAGTTATAAAAATCTAAGCTATGTCATATTGCAAAACAGTTTTATGCTGCAATGTAGTGTAAGACAACGTAGGAAAAAATATTTTCTTTTTTTTTATTAAGTGTAGCACACTTTACAGTTTCGTCTTTTGCTTCCAAACAACTCCTCTTATTCTCCATTACTCCAACAACTGTCATGCCAACAATTGTCATGCCAACAACTGTCCAAAGCATTTTCATTTTCATAGCTATCTATCGAAGAATATTACATCTTTGTTATGAAAACATAGTGACAAGAAGTCATCAAACATTAGTTACAATGTCCAAACCACTTTCATTTTCATAGCTATCTATCGAAGAATATTACATCTTTGTTATAAAAACATAGTGACAAGAAGTCATCAAACATTAGTTACAATGTTATACAAAGCTACAACTTATATACTTTAGTATTAGCAAATGTTAAAAGGTATGAGTGCACTGCCTAATATTTATTCATAATTTTTGATAATATTTTAATATTTGATAAAATATTTTGCTTTGACATAAAACAAGGCTTTCATCTTGGCCTTATTTGAATGTTTGAATATTATAAAAAAAAAAATCCTTACAATCAAATAAATCGTATAATTTTCACAACTCTCTGCTGTTGACACAGTCATTACTTTGGTAATCTCATTTAATTGTTGTTGTCCACTAAGAAGAAAAGCTCTTTTTGCTATAACCTGTTGTGTGTCTAATGCCAACTTGTATTCAACTTCTTAATAAAAAATTATATTAAAATTTTTTTAAAAAATTAATGTTAAATTTACAAAAAACTTTAAAAAGCCTAAAATATTATAAAAACCTGCACAATTTTAAAACAAACTTAAAATCATGAACAAATCTTAAAATATTGAAGAAAAAAAACAAACAAAAAGAAAAACAAACCTGCACTTGTTGTTCCAATACCTAGTCCAGCTGATGTCAAACAAACTTGCACTCCTTCAATGCTAATGTTTTTAGAAAGAAATCACAAAATAGCTAATCATTTTAAGTAAAATAAAAAAATTATTCATATTGGAAACCACTAACCATTTATTTTTTGATTTTCCATCAGTTGGTAAAGTACAAATGTTTTCAGAACTAAAAAGGTCAATCTTTTTTGTATTTCCTGTTTTAAGTTCTCCCATAATAGTTATTACTGGACGAGATCTAAATGTTAAATAAAACAATTAAAAAATTATTGAAAAAAGACTGAATGTTTTTGTTAACTCATTAAAAAGTGATTGGATGTTTTTGGGTTGGGTTTGTGGGTTTATTCAGTACAAATAAATAATAAAACTTTTTTTAAAAAAAGCAAATATATATCTAATAATCAATATTTAAAAAATATAAATAAAAAATAAATTTTCAAAATACCATAAAATAGAATTGTAAACTTTGAGGCAGTGGGGTGACTTAAGCCTTATTTAAAATGTTGTTAGTTTCATTCATTATGTATAAATATCACTTTCTTATTTATTTATTTTTTTATCAGTTGACTGATAACAAAAGTGCTAATAATTTATTGACCACATTGAGAAATATAAAATAATATGTCATTTTTGACTGCCTAATATTAAAACTTATTGTAGGGACCATATAAAACCTTTTGCATAAATTAAAAACCTATATTTAAATTTTGATTTTGAAACTTGAAATACTGTTGACTAAAACTATATTATAGAGTGATTCATAACAAAAAATGTTAAAAAACATTTTTATTTAATACCTTTGTTAATGCAAACTTCAAAAACATTAAAACTTTTTTTCAACTATTAAAAGTTTGTGAGTTGATATGCGTCATAAAACTTTTGAATTTTTAACTTTTTAGATTGAAGTTTAACTTCCCTTACATTTAAATTTTTATTTAATAAAGTAAAGTCTTGCCTTAAAACAACGGCTTGATCAGATTTATATGCACCAATAGCAAGATCTAAAAAACAAAATTTAAATGAACCAACAAAACAATTTCAGGAATATAATTATCTACTCTAGGAAAAAACATAAAAACAAATTTAATAAAAACATCAGACAATTTAACAAAACTATAAATTCATTTCACAAAGTCATTCAAGTTTGTATTATTAATTTTAGATTTTTTGATTAAAGACATTGCATATGATTAATGAATGATTGAACAATATTTTGACGGAGCTTGTAACATTTGTAACATTTAAAATGGAGCTTGTAAGCTTAATAATATAATACAAATAAAACATATATTATTGATAACAACATTGCAGATATTCAAAAATAAAACATTTCCTTGATTAAAAAGGTTTTCAGTTAAAGCTGATAAAGTTAAAAAAAATTTCATAAATATTTTGTTAAAGATCAGACAACAATTTTTCTAAAAAATCTGACATAAAACTTGAATAATTTCTTTTATACATATTTTTATAACAAATTAGCAAACTTAAACTTGTTTATATTACACAATTAAATTGAACAAATTTCACTTAATAAACTAACTGGTAAGTTTGTATATTGATTGCTCACAAAAAAAATAATTTTTTATTTATTTTGGTGATTTGTTGTTAGTGAGGAAACTTAATTATTTAAACGCTCTTTCAAACAAAAGAACAAATAAAGAACAAAATAACATTTTTATGAAGTTTTTTTATAACATAACATTTTTACAATTAATTCTTTCTATTTATACAAAAATTAACCTGGGTATTTATTGTCATCAACATCATTTGCAAGTTTATTTTTAAAAGGAAGAAAATCTGCAAAAGCAAAACCAAAGCCATTTAATGCTGCACCAGCAGCACCTAGACTCGAAGGGGTAATAACCTGTTTAGATAATCATAAACAAACATATTAATGAATAATTGATAACCAAAAAATATATACATATTTTAAATGAAAAAAACTAATAATTACATATTATTATATACAGAAATTGTAACTTATTTATTATAGCTGATGATGTCAATTGATATTGATGAAACATGTTGATAAAAAGTTTTTAAAAAATTCTTATTTACTTGAAAATTATTAATAAATTAGTTAGTATATATATATACATATATATATATATATATATATATATATATATATATATATATATATATATATATATATATATATATATATATATATATATATATATATATATATATATATATATATATATATATATATATATATAGTAGTAGTAGTACTACTACTACTATTATTTATAAACGTAAATCCAAAAAACAAAGCAATGATTTATGGTAAAGGAGAGAAAAAAATTCTGAACATATAACATAGTAACATATAACATATACCCATACTTGTTTACATAAATATGATATAATAGATAAAGTGAGCAACATTTAACTAACCTGCAATAGTTTTAAAGGCTCTTTGTTAGCAGTTCCATAATACAAATAAACAATGCCTTTTCCATCTACACCCCCATAAGGTGCACCGATTGCAATATCTAAAAATAAAAATAACTCACACTTTTAATAATTTTATTTCCTCAATTAAATTGATTAAATTTTTGAATTTCTGAAGATTAATACTCATAATTATATAATAATAACTTTTTAATTTTAAATTATAATCATATATAAATTTATATATATAATAATAGATATAATTATATAATGATTTATAACTGTAATTTTAAATTTAATTCAATAAAATCTAATATTTAAAGAATATTAACTTTATATATTTAACAAAGGTTAATAAAATAAAAATAAATTATTTTTAACTCAATGTTTTTTAACTTTTAAATTTCAGAACTAGTTTATATCGGAGAAGCTAACGCAACTAATCCATCAGTTTTTAGTCATTAATGTACTTTATATGGGAGCAGCTAATCAAAAAAGTTTCCAACTTCTATTGCATGTAGATTAACTTATTTTCAAAAAGTTTGATCAAATTCAGAAAGTTTTATAAATTTTTTAAAACTTTTTTTTAATTCAGAAATTTTTCAAAAATCTTTTTCAGCTCAAGACTTTTTTTTTTTTTTAATAAAAAAAAACAAACAAAAAAAAAACAAAAAAAAACATGTAACACTGACTAGCACTCGGTGTAGTTAAGGCACTTTTAAAATATTATAGCGTCTTTATGATTTTGTTGACTACGACATATTTCTGTTAAATGGTCTGGTCTGTGAATTATAAAAAGACGAAAAGTATTAAAATGATAAATTTTGCGGAATCATAAAATATAAATGTTTGAAGCGAAAAAACCCAGACCGAAGATTCTTTTTTTTTTTTTTTTTTATTTATCTTAAAATCACAATTGCTCGTTCAAATTTGAATAAGATTTTATATTAATATGTTTTTTAGGTAAAATGAACATTATAGTTTAAGAATATGATCTGTTCTGATCATTTATTGGTAATTTTCCATAATTATAAGCTCTTTCTTGGTCGGAATTCTAGTATTTTTTGTGAAAATTGATAGAAATATTGTATTTTGACAACTATATATAGTTAATATACGTCAGAACCGATTAGAACTAGGATCAGTAGTAAATTAACAAACTTTTTCAAAAAAATTTAACTAAATTCATGTTAATGGCGATGAGCGGATTGATCTAAAGACTCCAGAATACTGTTCTTTAGATTCAATATTACGGGTGTTTAAAAGTATTCGATTATTTTGCAAATTGCTTTAACTACACCGAGCAGATGATACTTGCTTTTGAAGTATTAAAAAAAAAATTTTTTTTAAAGTAAAACAATTTTTTTCCAAAAAAAAATGCTGTTAGTTTTTCTAAAAAAACATTTATCAAACCTTATAATTTTTTTTTCAGATATTTTAAAACTTTTACAAGCGAAGGTAAAATTTTGACCACTGGAAAACCATTGGGATAATGGTGTTAATGATAATTTTTAATAGTTTAATCTTAACTCTTACAAACTTCTTTAAAAACTTTTGAAATAAAAATATTTAAAAATATAACTTTTTAGAAATTGTTAGTGATATCAAACTTATGTGCAGTGACGTTAAACTTTTTAAACAATTAATTTCTTAAATAAATAAACTGTATTTTTCATTTAAGCACATTTCATTGATAAATGAAAGACTTTTAAGATACAAATGTCTAAGTATTTAGGTATTTTTACAAATTTTAACAATTAAATCATTTTTGTAATTTACATAAAATGGAAATACTGAAACTACATAATGACCTTAACATCTGACCATGTAAAAATTTATATTTAGACCACAAAAATCTAAAAAAAGAGCTCACTGTTGCAAACAAAAAACTCATAAAATTTTAAACATCTCAATGTGAACTCCATCAGACTATTGTATATATCTTAAATCAAAATTAATACTTTTGGTTTTAGATAAAGTAAAAAAATAGAGTTTAGAGCAAGAAACCGGTTGACCAAAGACTTAAAGAGTTAAAGCTTGTATGAGAAAACATGAAGATGGGAGAGAGTTGCAAAGAGTTGAAGTGCCGGGAAAAAAGCTTGACGAATAAAAGTTTTTGAAGTATGCAGAGACAAATACAGTATAAAAATGGATTATTAAGTAAACATTAAGTAAATCTGAAAAAAATGTATAATTGATTTTTTGTATACTTAAAAGTAATATTTCTTTACATTAGTGTTTAATTCCAATGATGTTACACTAATACTAAAGAAAATTCTAACCACTAAATTGATCTTGGTTTAGGTCTCCTACACTTCCTAATCCAGTACCAAATAAAGATCCAGTTAAAGGTCCATACATTTTATTACCATATAGGGTTTGAACATGTTCTAGCCCATTCTAAAAATACAAATTAAAATTCAATAAAATTTTATTTTATTAAAACATTTTTAAATTTGTAATTAAATATTTGAATATTTTTAAGACTTTCTTTCATAGTATTTACAATTTTGTAAAATATAAAGATAATACTCGTAATGTACTATGTATTTTATAACTTTGACATTCTATGTATAATAGGAGGATAAAGCTCATATTCATTTATTTACTGATAAAAAATAAAATTAAAAATAAAATTTATAAAATGTTAATGTATTAAAATATTTTTTACAACATATTTTAAATATTTTTATTATTATTTCCTAATGATTAATTTATGTAGAGATAATAATTATTGAAATCACCTGCTTATTATTTATGTATACGTAAACTGCTCCTTCATTGTAGCTATCTCCTTCATAATAAGGTGCTCCTACAACTAAATCTGAAAATCTAAAAAAATAAATAAGAATTACAAAGAAGGAATAGATATTTGATAAAAAAAAAATAGATTCAACAAATCTCACTCATCATTATTAACATCTGCAGCAGCAAGACTGGAACCAAAATATGAGCCAACCTAGAAAAATAAAATTTAAAAAAGTTTTAGTATTATTAGCAACCCAATAAAAAAAATAAAAGTTTTTTCTACTTTTACTGCTGAGCAAAAGAACCATATATATTATTTAACTTATGATTTTAAAAAATAATAACAAACACAGTGTAACACAACAAGTAACAGATACAGTAGCAGGGATACAGAGTCCTAAAAGCACTTTAACTCTATATCTGTTATTTTCTGGTCTCTGGTGCTCAAAAGCTCTAAACATGTTGGTTGATTTATGATCTGCTATAAGAACAAAATTCATGAGATTTAATGACTTAAAACTTATTGTTTTTAAGAGTCTCAGAGTCCTTGTTGTCATAATACCTAGAAATAATACCTCAAAATTTATTGTTTCTTTAACCTAAAAGTTTTCATTTTTTTCCCATAAGTAGTACATAAACTTTTTTTTGGATGCCAAAAACTAGGAGTAAAACTAGAAGTAATTTTTGTGACTTTCAAATCCAGATTCCTTTTTGAGACTTGGCATCCCTTTACAGTAGAACAAAAAAAGCAACAAAAGCAGCATAACAGGTATTAAAAACAAAACAAGTAACGAATACAGTATAATAAAACAAATAACAAGTACAGCATAACCCAACAATCAGCCTTTGGAATTGGGATCAGATTCCAATCTTGTTTTCATATTGTTGTGGAGAAACTTTTGTACAGTATAACACAACAACTAACAAAGAGCAGTATAATACAACAACGAACAAGTAGTAAAAAATTAACATGTAGCAAGTAGCAAACAATTAACAAGTAGCAAGTAGAAAACAACTAACAAGTAATTAACTACAAAGGTTTGGAGATACAGTATTAAAATGCTACAAGGTTAATATTCTTAGAAAATATAGTACTAATCAAATACCGCATTCAATATTACTACCATGTTGTCAATAGTACTACCATGAGGTGACAACATAATATTATTAAGTACTATTACTCCTATAAAATTGTGTAACCATAAGAATCTATAAAAAATTAAAATTTTTGATCTGCTAACTATGCCACTAGTTTAAAGTAGTTTAAATACAAAAATTATATTAAGAAAAAATGTATTAAAACAAACTGTTTTTGATGGGTCATTTAAAACTGCAAATGTCTCATTTGGATTCAGAACGGTGTACATTAACACCTAAAAATATATTAAAAACCATAAAAATTTTAAGCAAATAAACACTATCATTAAAATAAAAGAATAACATGACTACCTTTCCATCTAGATTATTGCCACGTGGAGCACCACCAACAACAACTTAAAAAAACATTAACTAATTGGTTAGATATGGTCAGTAATTAATAGAAGAAAAAAATATGTAATTAACTCTACACTTATATCCCTACACCAGGGCTTAATTAAACAGTCGGACATGGAACATTGTCCGGCTAAAATAAATAAAATAAAATTAAATTTTATTCGTTGATTTGAAATTAACAAATATAAACTTAATGTAAACTATTAGACAAACTTATAAAATATGTTGATTTTCTTTTATTTTGATATGTTGGCATTCATTCCCAAAAAAAGCGCTGTTATTAATTGTAGTTTTAATGACTGTTCTTTAACAGTATTATTGTTATATTATTAAATTTAAAATTATGGATTATTTAAAACGATCGCAAAAGTCAAAGTATGTTCGATTGATTATTGCAAACGCCATGGACACCAAAAAGCAAAGAAAAGCTAGCAGTTTGAAAAATTTGATAATAAAAGATTTTACAAATGTGTTTTTTTAGAGGCTGAGATCTCATCGATGGAATATTTAAAAAAAAAACATTAAGAAAATGTACATTTAAATATTAACGTTATAATCACCCAAATCATTCTATTTTAGCTTGAGCAGTTTCTTGGTGGAATCCTGGTCCTACTTGAGTTTTCTGATTCTTTATTTATTATTTGTTTTTTAAACTATATCTTTATTTGTATTTTTTTTCTTATTATTTATTTTATATACATATATATATATATATATATATATATATATATATTATATATATATATATATATATATATATATATATATATATATTTTATTATTATTTATTTAATTTGCCGTTGATAAATATTACAAAAAAGAAATTACAATAAAAGAAAATCCTGGCCGGAGCAAGAAGAAGACAGGTTGTCTTATCACCGAGCCCCGTCACACAAAAATTTACATGCACAATAAATGATAAAAGACAAAAAGACAGTATAAATACAAAAACAAAAACAAATCAAAAACTTCAGCAATAAAATAATTTGTTGCTAACAATCTTCAAGCAGAATAATTTTAAAAATAAAAAAGTAAAAAGGACAAAAAGTCATGAAAGTTATAAAAACACACAAAAAAATGTGTTGTTTAATTTAAAAAAAAAAAAAAAAAAAAAGCAATATATGTAAACATAAGTATTTGGGCTGATTATTTAATATCATCAAAAATATGAACGAAAAAGACAATTTTATTTTCGTTATCTTTTATACTAATGGTTTGAAACCATTTTAATAAAAGCTAAAGAAAGTGTTAAAGATTTAATTTATTTTTAAGTGATTTAGTTTAAACCTTTAAATTGTTTTCAAAAAAGGTATTTGAAATCTAGTATATCGAATTCCATGTTCAGTAAATGCCGTTTTGAATCATCCTTAAAACTTTGCAAAGTGCAGTTTAAAACGAAGGTTTGTTTTTTACTAAAGATTGAAAGAAATTCTTTCCAAACTAAAGGCCCCTGATATTGAATTTGGTACGAACTTAATTTAAGAAAGTTTATGGGAACCACAAAGTTATTCACTGAAAATTTGGTTGGATATTTATGGGAGATTTCATTAAAGTAGGTTTCATTAAAGTAGATTTCATTAAAGTATATTTCATTTCAATCAGGATTGAAATGTTACTGGGGAAAACCCAAGTTTTGCTTTAAACATAAATATCATTACTTGATGAATATTAAGCTTATAAATATTTAAAGCTCCAAGCTGACGTAAGAGAGGTTCGCATTGTGTTTTTCTATTTGCCCCAAATACTATCCTGCAAGCATGTTTTTGCTTACTATAAATTTTTTTGAGTTTAGTGTGATTAGTGCTACCCCAGGAAATGTTACAGTATGAAAGATAGCTGTGTATAAACGAAAAATATAAATTTTTTAAAGACTCGTTATTAAGAAAAGGTTTCGTTTGGTATAACATGGCAATATTTTTTGAGATCTTACCTTCAATATATTTAATATGAAATTTCCATGACAATTTTTCATCTAAGAGCACTCCCAGAAAGTTTGTAGTCAATTCCCTTTTAATTATTTTATTATTGATTAAAAGATTGAGTAGTTTAAGATGAATATTCTTGGCTTTACTAGGTTTATGGAATAGGATAAATTTTGTTTTCTCTACATTTAATGATAGTCAGTTACTTATAAACCACTCGTTGATCTTGTCTAATTCTTGATCTTGTCTAATTCGTTGATCTTGTCTAATTCTTGATGATAAATATAAATCATTTATATAAAGTAAGAACAATAATGGTCCCAAAATAGAACCTTGGGGTACTCCACAAGTTATTAAGTTGTTTTTTGAGTCTTTTGATTCTTTAAGTATAAATTGCTTTCTGTTAGTTAGGTATGATTTAAACCAAAGTAAGCTTTGATTTTTAACACCATAGTTTTCTAATTTTTTCAAAAGAATTTCATGATTTACTGTGTCGAAAGCTTTGGATAAATCAATAAAAACCCCTATTGTATAGCAATCACTATTAAATCCATTTGATATATGCTTAACTAATTCAACTATTGCATGGTCAGTAGAATCATTTTTTTTAAAACCGTATTGATTATTATATAAAATCTTATTTTCAGATAGATATTTATAAAGTCTGTTAACATAATGCGTTCAATTAGTTTAGAAAAGCAGGGTAAGACTGAGATTGGTCTGTAGTTTGAAATATTGGTCTCATCGCTAGATTTGAAAATAGGTGTTATTTTTGCAATTTTTAGTTTATCTGGAATATGACCTGATTTAAGGGAGAGATTAAAAATATGGAATAATGAGGGTTCGATAATATCAAAAACAGATTTAATTACATTAACATTAATTTGATCTATACCTGCACTTTTATTTTTTTTCAGACTATTAAAAGCAGTATGTAGTTCACTTTTGGTTAAAATCAGTTCTTCCATAATTAAATCAGTTGTTGCAAGATATGAATCAAATTTTTTTTGACCAATTGGAATTTTCGCTGCTAGGTTTGGGCCAACATCAAGAAAAAAATTGTTTAATTTCTCAATAATAACTTCTTGATGATAAATCATTTTTCCCTCAATAATAAGTTTTTGCGGTAAGTTATTTTTTTCAATTTTATTTTTCCCAATTAAGTCTCTAATAACACTCCACGTTTTTTGAGGGTTTCCTTTGTTTTTTTCAAGCAGTTTAGCATAGTAATTTACTTTTGATTGTTTTTTGGTTTTTTCAAATAAATTTTTATAATTTTTGTAATTAGTTTCATTTTTATAAGTTTTATTTTTTAAATATTTATCATACAATTTTTGTTTTTTCCTTGATGATTTTAGTAGGCCTTTGGTCATCCATGGGGAATCAACCAACTTTGAGTTTATTAGTTTCACTTTTAAAGGAAATGCCTTATCATACATTTTAGAAAATTGGTTTAGAAATAAATCATAAGCATTATTTACATCGCGTGATTGCAGTACAAGATTCCAATCAACGTAATTATTTAATAAACTTTTAAATTGGCAAATGGAACTTTCATTGATTTGTCTCATGAATACTGTTGATTTGTGGGTAGCATTATTTAGAGTAACGCTCTCAGTAATAAAGAATATAGGGAAATGATCAGTTAAATCAGTCTTGATTATACCAGTTTTAAAACGGCTATTATGAAAATTGTTAGTTATAACATTATCTAATAATGTCGATGATTTTTTAGTTACTCTTGTTGCTTTGTTTATAGTTGGGATAAGGTCGTATTCGAGAAGAATATCAATAAAAGTTTTTGCTTCACTATTTAAGGCATGGTTGAGTAAGTCAATGTTGATATCCCCAACTACATAAACATGCTTTTGCAATATATTTTTTGTGGTTAGGAATGTGCGCAGATAAGTTTTGAATGTTTTTAAACTACCAGCTGGCGTTCTATAAATAGCATTGATTATGAAATTTTTAGCTAATTTATTTATTATCTCGACGCATAGTGCCTCACAATCTGTATTGTTTACATTAAGATCTTTACGTTGAATAAAATCAATAGAATTGTGAATGTATATGCTTATACCACCACCAACGCAAATATCGCGCATTTGATGAACTGATGTATAGTTTCTTAACTCAAAATTAGAATTTGTTTCATTGCTTTTAAGCCAAGTTTCTGTGAAACAAATTATTTTAAAATCATGATTAAGTTCTCCCAATAAACACTTAAAGTTCTCGAAGTTTTTATTCATACTTCAAATATTAATATGCAATATTGAAAATTTATTCTTATTCTCACAGAGATATTGAGTAGATTCAGGTATTGAATAGTACTCACTTTGTAATATGGTTTCAGTAGGATTATCAGAGTTATTATCGCTAAAAACAATATTTTTAGCATTAATATTATAATATATATATATATATATATATATATATATATATATATATATATATATATATATATATATATATATATATATATATATATATATATATATATATAAATAATAAATAATAAGAAAAAAATAATTATTTAATATATTAAAGACATTATTATACTATATTACTATAACAAACTTGTTTACTTGCCGTTTTTATTATTGATAAAAATAGTTACATGAACGCCATATAAATACCTTTTTGGCGTTAAAAGTGGAGCTTTCTGCATAAAATCGACACTTAGCCTATTGTATTTTTTTAAGTAAAAAAATTTACATAACTTTTATAAACCGGTAATGTAACTCAATGTAAACTAACAAGGTTTTCGAGAGAAAAAAACTCAATAAAACTTCAAGTCTATCTAAAAAATGCGCAGTATTGAATTTAAACTATTTCATTTAAAATACAAAGATCTACGATGATAAAAATTCTGAATATTAAAAAAAAAAGCTATAACTTCACTAGCCTAAAATAAACTAAACTGGGAAAACATAACATATATTTTGATTGGAAAATTGGGTTCCGTAAAACTCAGATACGCCAGAAGCTAGTCTAAAAAAACCCATCTGCAGTACTTTTTTACTCTTGGCATTTAAAGAACTATCTTTTTCCTGTGTTCCTTTTAACTAAACAAATATGAATATATGTAAATATTGGTGAAAATTATTTGTTTAAATTTTGTTTAAAATATTTGATCGGACGTCTGACCAAAATAACTTTTGGTCGGACATTTTGTCCAGGACCTTTTAAAAAATTAAATTAAGCCCTGCTACACCATACCTAATCTTTTCTTTATCTCTTATCTATCACCTAGAATCTACTAAACATTTATACATACATCTATACCTCTTCAAGATAAAATTGAAAAACACATGTGATTAAGAAATTATAATTTGTATTTAAGAATAAAACATGCAATTAAAATCCATATATAATTGCAAAACACAACATTGAATTAAAAACCATATATAATTGAGAAACACAAAATGCAATTTAAAATCATAAATAATAGAGAAACAAAAATTGATTATTAAAAATCATATATAATTGAGAAACACAATACAATAAATTTAGAAATAATTGAGAACTCGTTATTCTGTATGAGATTTCATATATTGTAATTGTGAATGCTTGTACTTTAATAAAAAAAGTTTTCTTGGACATAATTTTAATGGGTAAATGTCAAATTTAGCTCTTTGTATGCGCCAACAATTACTGTTAAATTGATCATTGTGCTATATGTCAACACACTACAACCCAAAAGTCAGCAATTGAAATAAACTCATGTATATGTTTTTTAACCAAATTTTTCAAAACCAGTGCAACAACAAAATTCTATTTGTCAACCACTATATTTTAATCTGTCAGTATGCAAAATATGCAATGAAACATGTTGGAAAAAAACTTTAGATTTTGTATTTTGTTCAATATCTGTCATTTGAAATAACATCTAAGCAACAATAGGTAAAACAACAATTAAACTTTATGTGTTAAATATAAAAAAAGCCTAGAACTAATTTGGCAGTTAGCATTTATTATCAGAAAAGATGGCTTTAAGTCAAATAAATTAGCAGAAGTTCAAATTTCCATCAAAACCAAAAAAAATCAACAAAATATTAAATTTAATTCAAATAAAAATTGAAACAAAATTGTTAACTGACATCAATAGCATGACAACCATTGTCAATGAAAACTATTGAGAACTATTTTAGGATAGTTTTCATTAGAAATGTGCACGAGAAGCCTTTTACAAAATTAACAGTAATGAAAGCAAAAATAAAATTGAATATATAAGATGAATTAACAAACATATCACAAACAGTTGACAGACAGTATGGTTGAATGAAATAGATTTTACTTTTTTTTGTAGAAAAATGCAAGTGCATTCCAGAAAAGAACAGCAGTATTAAAAGTACATTGAAAAGTTCAAACACTTAATTCCAGCTGCATTATTGGCAAATGTCATTATGATGGAAACTTAAAGATCATTCAATGCTAATTTTTGTAATAAATGGATATTGTTTGTTTTACTAGAGGGTAACACCTGAAAATTATTCAGAGGATTTAATTAATAGAGATTTTTTAATGCTACTGTTATTAACTTACTAGGTAACACTACTGCTAACATGCAACACAAATCGACATATTTTTTCATTTTATTTTCAGAGTTTAAATGAAATATTCATTGTTAGCATTGCAAGAACTGTGAAAAGAAAAAAAGTGAAGCACAAAAGCATAATAAGCAAACTTACAGACAGACTGTCTGTCCTTTGTGAATATTCCAGACGCTGTGGCATAACCTAAAATTTTAAAAAATTAAAAAAATTTTCATTTTCTTAATAATAAATGGTAATATAAATGATGTTTTTAATAATTTAAAAAAAATCAACTGTTTATGCTTGGATTATTTCTTACCATTATATTCATAATCTTTTGGAATAAGGGTATCAGTAAAAGAAAGAGACATTCCATCTCCTTTTGCTAAAGCAATGAAACCTAAAAAAATTCAGAAGATTGAACAAAAATTTTCATATTTGAATCTTATTATTTTTATAACTCTTTTTCAAGTTATTATAACACATTGCTTGCAGATATTTAGGTTATAATAATAATATAAATTTATTTTTATAATAGAATTATAAAATTTTAATTATTATTTGTGGTTTTTAAAATTAATTACAATACCATTTTCACAACAGTCTTTTAATAAAATGTAATAATTGTGTAATGTAAATAAATAATAGTGTAATAGCATGTAATAATTGTGTAAAACATGTATTGTTATAATAACATGTAAAATTCTTTCAATAAAAAACTTTATATTTAATTACTTTCAGTAGGAATGCATATAAACATTAATATAATCAACATACCTTTACCCAGTTGAGCATTGGGCAAACCAGTCATTAATTCTTTAATAGGAGAATCAATAAACTTTGCTGAAAATCCAACCTGACTATATTTAAATTCGGGTAATCGAGTTGCTGGAAAATAAAAGGAATAACATATTTTATAAACTATTCTATACATACACATACATAACATCAGAGGCTTTTCTAGACCGTTTTCAACAGCACCAACCGTATTTAGGCGCCACCTAAATTCAAAATTGAGAATTTTTTTTATTATTACAAAAAAAAATTTTTTTTGGCATTGTATATTTTAAAGGAAATATCTTTACGCAAATGCCAGTCTGGGGGTACTGCCGCCCACATTTTTTTTCTAGAAAAGCTTCTGTACCTACACATTTATTCACATATATACACTTTGGTATTTCAATTTAGGCGAACAAAAAAAATTAAATTTTTTAATTGAAAACTTTTTGACATACACTAAAGAAACAAATTATTCCTATTCTAATCACAAAAAAACAAAATCTTCCTATTATTCAGTCAGTCCACAGAACTTTCAGAAATATAACATATTTCAATATTTCTTAGCAAATGCAAGTTTTTGAACTCTATGGGTTTTTGAAAGGAATGTCTTATTGCATGGAACTTTTGAATTAAATTCAATACTTTAATTAAAATCAATATATAATGAATTATATATTTAAAATAAAATTAAAATAAGAATTAGGAAGACTTGGAACTTTCAAGTTTTGCACATTATAGTTTTATGGTCTAATAAATATAAAATAGTTAAGGTGATCCCACTTGAAACAATTGATTTTTTTTTTTAATTGAAAATTAAATATATAAGAACTAAAATATAACTTAAAATACTCAAACTCAAAGTAAAATTATTTTATCTTACATTTTTATTTGCGAAATAACTTTTCTATTTGCAAAATAACTTTTAAATGTTTTAATCAATTTTCTATTGAAATGTTTTAATCAAAGTAACAAACAATACTTTTACATAAAGTTGCAAACTATTTCGAATGATTGTTTAATAAATGAACTAACTTAATTGAAGTTATCAAAAAGTTTTATATATAACTTTTTTTGATAATTTCAATAAAGTTAGTTCATTTTTTAATTGATTAAGTATGTATTTTTTCTAACAAGAAAGTAAAAGAATAAAAAAAAAAAAAGTTTAACTATGTCGTCTTTTTAAAAAATAATTTGTAATCGTTTTATGCTCTGATTAGTTAAATTGTCAAATTAAAAAAAGACTTAAAAGAAGTCTTTGTAATAATATAAACAAATTAAATATTATTTTTCATTTCAAAATCAAATTTTGTAATTTTTTTATTTTTTAAGATTAGACATTAACTTTTTTTTTCAACTTTATCACTCCCAACAAGGCTGCAAGCAATCACTATTAAGGTTGGAAGTTACTGGATAAGAAAATATGAGGTTTATAAAGCAAGATAATGGTTAACAGACAACTTAAAACATTGCAAATTATGTGAATCAGGAAACAAGATAAAGGAAGCAAATTCCAAAGAACTGATGTTTGAGGAAAAAAACTAAACAAAAAAATTTTTTGGACCACTTAGGAGCAGTCACAGTAAAAGGATGAGACTTAATTGAATGACAAATAACACAAGAATGAATTTTAGTAGATAGAACTAAAGACACTAGTTGAGAAAAAGAAGTAATATTACCATGATGTGACAATGGTTGAAGGTTGCTGCATAAGCAGGTCCAACTATGTTTGCAATGTGTTACATGCTTATATAAGTAAAAAAAAATTAATATAATATTCTTGGATAATTTAAATAGTGTTCCTAAACTCGTTTTAATTTAAATAAAATGTGCCTACATTCATTCTAGGCAACTAGTCACTTTTTTTTTTAATACTATAAAAAAATTTAAAGTCATACCTATTGTAATTTAAAACAGTTACTTTCAGTGCATTTCCGAAATGTTTAAATTCTTACAACAGGATTGGACATTCCTGTCTGGTTAGAGTACATCTTAATACTGTCTGGTTAGAGTAATATCTTAATTAACAAGATGGTGAAAGTTAACTGACAGTTGGGTTAATAAATACTATGTATTTCTGAAATACCTAATAGTATTAAGGAATGCAAATAACATATTCTAATATGTAATAGAGATTTTATAAATCATTCCATATTTTTTATTCTAAATGTGGTATTTTTGGCTAGCACAGTTTCATCACATTATCCATAATTGAGTCTATACATTGCTAAATCTACATTTTAATTGAGATAATGATGAAAAGCGTGCATGAAACTTGAACATTTAATGGGTCTCTAATATTATCAAATACATTTTTTTTTTTTTGGTTTTGAGTTAGTTAAGTTAATCCAAAAAAATATTTTTGTTCAAATACTAAATCAAAACATTTAATAACTTCATTTTATACATATATATATATATATATATATATATATATATATATATATATATATATATATATATATATATATATATATATATATATATATATATATATATATATATATATATACATATATATACATACATACATATATATATATATATATATATATATATATATATATATATATATATATATATATATATATATATATATATATATATATATATATATATATATATTCAACTCTTGGAATTAGGATAAACAAGGTCGGCAAGAGTTTGCTGACCTAATCTTGTAGAGGTCGACATCAGGATGGCAAAAAAAATTCGATACAAAGGCCTCACCATAAAACATAAAAACGAGGCCGACCTTAAACACTTTATGGATGGCAGTTAGGTCGACCTAGTTCCGAGGATTGTGTGTGTGTGTATATATATATATATATATATATATATATATATATATATATATATATATATATATATATATATATATATATATATATATATATGTATATATATTAAATGTATACATTTTTAATGATTATATTATACATTTTTAATGATTATCAGCATATAAATGTTAAGCTCTGCATGACAACACTTTTAGATTGACACTTAGTGTAGTCTCTTTCTATGGAGGAACACTATTTTTTAGTTGCTGCTTTAGTTTAGTGTTAAATTTAAATATTTGATAACAAGTTTTATGACTAACTAAACATTTTAATAAAATAAAATACAGTTTAACTTTGAAATGAAATGTACTGTCACTATTTGTGTTATGTTATTTTTTTAGATGATTTTAATTCCAATAACTAATAATAAATAATAATAACGGTAACAAACAAAAACAACCATTATATTTTTTTTTTTTTTTTTTTTTTTTTTTTTTTTTTTTTTAACATCTTCACTTCCAACAAGGCTGCAAGCAACCACTATAAGAGTTGGAGGTTACTGGAAGAGAAAAGACTAAATCTGTAGAGCAAGATAACAATTGACTGATGACTTAAAAGATTGCAAATTATATGAATCAGGAAAGCAAGATGAAGGAAGCGAATTCCAAAGAACTGATGTTCGAGGAAAAAAACTAGAAGAATAAGAGTTTTTGAAGCACTTAGGAACAGTCACAGAAAAAGGATGAGACTTAATTGAATGGCGAGTAACACGAGAATAAATTTTAGTAGATGGCACAAGGGACGCTAGCTCCTTAGAGCAGTGCCCATTATAGTATTTGTAGAAAAGAGAAAGAGAAGCAACATTACGACGATGTGACAAAGGTTGGAGATTGGCTGCCAGAGCAGGTCCAACTATGTTTACAATTCGTTTTTGCACCTTGTCTAAAAGAGAAAGAGCATCATTAGAAGATCCGCCCCAGATATGGCAACAGTATTCCATACAGGGACGGATTTGAGATTTATAGAGATAGAGAATAGAATCTGGAGTAAGAAAGTGTCGAGCTCGATAAAGAGATGCAACCTTAGCAGATGCTAATTTTGCAATGGATTTGATATACGGTTTAAAAGAAAGATCAGAAGTAAGAGTTAATCCTAGAAGATGAATGGTAGATGACTCATCTAGTACATTACCATTCATAAATATAGGAAGATCTAAATTATTACGATAACGATTGGCCGAATAAAATTGAGTTTTATCTGAATTAAAGTTCACCAGCCACTGTGATCCCCATGCTGTAGCAGAAGTGAGATCCTTTTCGAGCTCAGATACCCCCTCCAAGCAATCAGAGAGTGTAGGCTTCTTATCATGACAAGAGTAAATGGTAGTGTCATCAGCGAATAATGCCACCTTAGATGTGAGAATATCTGGAAGATCGTTAATGTAAATTAAAAAGAGTATAGGGCCAAGGATTGAACCTTGAGGAACCCCTGAAGTTACAGGATGTGAAGAAGAGTGTTGTCCATCGAGGACAACTTTTATACTACGATTGGAAAGAAAGGACTCAATAATCTTAAAGACGTTACCAGCTACACCATAAGAAGAAAGCTTATGGAGAAGACCAGCATGCCAAACTTTATCAAAAGCTTTAGAAATGTCAAGTGCGATAGCCTTAACCTCTCCACCTCTATCTAATGCACGGTAAAACCTATCGGTTATTACTGTTAGCACATCAGCTGTAGAACGAGAAGACCGAAATCCATATTGATGATCAGAAAGTAAGTTATTTGATTCAAGATGAGAGATTAAGTGTTTGTTGATTAAAGATTCAAAAACCTTGCTTATGACAGGAAGAAGACTAATGGGAAGGTAGTTAGATGAATCAGATCGCTATCCAGAATTTTTAAAAATAGGGATAACAGATGCTGCTTTCCAGCAGGCTGGAAAACAAGACTCTGATAAGCACTTGTTAAATAGTTTAGAAAGTATGGATGAAAGCTCCGGAGAACACCTCTGCAAGACTACAACAGGAATGTTGTCAGGACCACAAGCTGTTGAAGAGTCTAAGCAGGAAATTACTTTAGATACAGAAGCTGAAGTGATGCGAATGTCAAGCAAGGGATCAACCATTTTAATTAAAATTCAACATTAAAAAAAATGCTAAAAGTCAACATTATTAAATTATTTTTACCAAAGTTTTGACATTATATTTTTGCAAATAATTACTGTATTTTTGTGATAAAATGTCACTGTTAAACTTATGTGATAAAACATTTGAATTTTAAATGATAGACAAACAAAAATCAAAAAAATTAAAAAATTAACAAGACTCACTCAAAGACACAGTTGGCCTCCATACAAAACTGCTGCTTGTATCAAATACGGATATGACATCACACTTTCCTGTCAAATATTCTTCTAGTTTTTCATTTACTGTTTTATAGCGTGGTGCACATGCCTGCATAAAATTAATATGTATATATATATATATATATATATATATATATATATATATATATATATATATATATATATATATATATATATATATATATATATATATATATAATATATATATATATATATATATATATATATATATATATATATATATATATATATATATATATATATATATATATATATATATATATATATATATATATAAAGATAAAAAAAAAAAAATTAACTAAAGTATTATTTATAAATGGAAAAAAATATTGACTTTCTTCAAAAACATAATATTTATGAAACTCTAATAACTTATTAGTTTTTTGTTATTATTAGTTTACTGTGTTTTTGTTCAACCCTTTGACTGAGGCAAACAAAAAGTTTTATTGTTATAAAAGATCTCTACCATATTTAAATATTGTCAATCAATTTCCTTTAATAAATGATGCAATCACTAAAATTTCAATCTAAACTACAAATTTCTTTAAAAATTTTAACTTTTTAGTTAAAATTTTTAAAGAAATTTTTTTTTAAAACTTTTAAAGAAAAATGTTTTTTAAAAATTTCTAAAGAATTAAAAACCTTTACAATTAAAAACCTATCAAAAAGATTTGAGACTTTTCGTTACATTATTCTACATTATATGAATAGACTGCCCTAACCAAAACTCATAATCAATACATGTACACTTACCGAAAATCTCAGTACATATGTACTTATTAAAACACAGTCATTATATGTACAATTAGCAAAATAGGAAAAAAATTAAATGAAATAAAGATAATAATATATATATATATATATATATATATATATATATATATATATATATATATATATATATATATATATATATTAATATAAATAAATTTTATTATTTAATAAAATTTAGTTTTTTACTGAATCTTTTTTTTAATTAGCTAGTGATCAGAAAATCACAATTTTGGTGCTGGTTTAAGTAGGGTTCGGACTATTATTATTGTAATTGTAAAAATTAAATACGATAACACATTACAATACAATAATATTGTTTTGTAATATCAGAGATGTAATTAAAACATTATTTATTGTTATTGTATTGCAGCGATTGAAAACAGTTACAATAACTATTGTATTATATTTTTTTCTAACAACAAAATAAAGTTCTAAAACTATTGTATTATATTGCTGGGATGAAAAACAATTACAATAATTATTGAGGTGTATTGTATTACTATTTCAAAGTCTAATAGCTATTGAATTTTAAAGTATTTAGATTCTGTTTCCAAGCATTTATTATTATTTGGGCAATAAAAAATTCAGAGGTGCCCTTAACGCCCGTTTTTAACAGTCATTTATATATATAAATTTCATTTATTTTGAGAAGTGAAGTGAAGCCAGGAAAGCCAAAGAAGTATATATATTACATATACTTAATAAATATTAAGTTCTAGCAACCATTTACATAAATAAATTTTATTTATTTTGAGTTCAATAATAAACTGTTTAAATAATAATTTATTTAGAATTAACATTAATAATATTCATTCAAAATCATACAAATATATACTTTATCATATGCTTGTAATTAAATAATTATTTACTTTGTGAAGTGAAATTTTTGATTTTTTTATAAATTTGTTTAAACTGATATTGAAATGTTTCATCGGACGATGACGTCTAAACTAATTGATTAACTACATAAAACGTGTGAAAAAATATTTTTTTAAATATAATTAACTGCTAATGTGTAATAATTTACAGCATTATGGAATCAGAGAACCATTAACATGGGTAATTATCAATTAGATTGTCTAAAAATGTGACCTACTTTTGTTTTGCAAAAAATTTTCTACATTTTCAGATTTTCTTGTTCTTCACCTATCAGACCGTACAAGTAAATTATGTAGGGAGTCATTTTTAAAAAATGAGGCAATTTAGAATACCAAATAAATATTGTTCTTGATTTATGTAACGAAATTCTTGTATAACTTTGCAACTAGATCAAAAAGTCCAGTTACTTTATGAAACACATACAGCCATAAAAGCCTCAGGGAAACAAAAGACAAAGTTATATTTAAGTAAGTTTTAGTTGAGTAAATAAATTTTGTTCTTAATTTATGTAACGAAATTCTTGTATAACTTTGCAACTAGATCAAAAAGTTCAGTTACTTTATGAAACACATACAGCCATAAAAGCCTCAGGGAAACAAAAGACAAAGTTATATTTGAGTAAGTTTTAGTTGAGTAAATAAATATTGTTCTTAATTTATGTAACCAAATTCTTGTATAACTTTGCAACTAGATCAAAAAGTTCAGTTACTTTATGAAACACATACAGCCATAAAAGCCTCAGGGAAACAAAAGACAAAGTTATATTTAAGTAAGTTTTAGTTGAGTAATTTTCAAAACAATTGGATATTAGAATTGGATAGGTGCCTAATGTAAAAGCAAATAACTAAGTGATAGAAATGGTAATTATTGATCATCTATATCCCCAGCAGTAAAAGAAGTACAGGTCAGATCAAACTAGCTTTTATAGAGCTATATAAAGTTTGCAACAAAGACAAGTGATATTCAGTTAATAATAAAGAAATAGAATCAATAATTACATATTAGTTGTACTCTATTTCAAGGTCACATATCTCAGAGACTGGACTGTTAAAACATTTATTAAATTTTTACATTACAAAAATTTTTTTATCACAATAACAATAAACGTTATTGTATTATAAAGATGAATTGCAATACAATAATTATTGTTATTGTAATGGGCCATTACAATACTTTTGTTTTTCAGATATTGTTATTGTATTATGAAGATGAATTGCAATATAATATTTATTGTTATTGTATTACAGTATTAAAATAATTGTAAACCACAAGTATTGTTATTTTTTCTAAAAAAGTTAATACAATTACAATAGTTATTGTTTCTGTATTTGTTTTCATTACAAATACAATAGTCCAAACTCTAGGTTTAAGAAATTTAAAAATTTCACCAAACACCAATATATTTGTTCAAGCTTATATTTTTTATCAATTTAAGTAAAACATTCAAATTTAGAAAATTTTATGGAAAAAAAAAAAAAAAATTATTGGAAATTTCCACACAAAAATAACACAAAACCTAATACTATTAAGCAACAATTTCCATAAATTGTTTTTTGAGGACAATAGTTCAGAAAATTATAATTTGTATGAAACTCTAAACAAATTTTTGATCCGTAAACCGTATTCTCCTAAAGCATGTACACGAAACAAGTGTGAAAGTAGAAAAACAACTATAAAAAAGTACTCATTGACTTTTATTGGAAACTAAGTATTAATTTTAATACATTAATATAAGAAGATAAAATATTTCAAAGAAATTAATTTATTCCTGTGGATATCTAATAAAATTTAAAACTTTTGTTTTGGTGGTATACATAAGCTTGCACACAGATCAAAAATCAAAACTATTTGATGTTTTTTAAATGACATTTTCAAATCTTTAGTGTTTCTGCATAGTTTATTTAACTTGTTTTTTATTTTTCGTCTAAAAGTTACCCAGTACTTTGCAATAATTTTAATACTAGGCAGTTTGGAGGATTTGCTATTTTAGACAACTTTCATCTTTTTTTATACCATCTCATAGCCAGTTTGCTATAATGACTTGATGATAAATCAAGCCAGAACACATGTCTACTATCATGTGATTTTGTAGGAGGTAAAAGATGTTTTTGTTAACATGATTTAACATATATTATATCGAAAAGTGTGGACTGAGAAGTATAAGGTGCTGATTTTTTGTCATACCTGCAAATAGCTTGCCAAATCAAAGCTCTTTTAGCAAACTTATCATTTTTTTTGTATTAAAATTTCTTATCTGCTTCTCTTCTAAATTTGGAATTATAATAGAAAGCACCAGGAATTTGCTGATGATCATACTTTATATAAGTTTTATCATCTTAAACAATTCAGAAATTTTTAGAAATATAATTGTCATACAACTTTCTTTAGTGAGTTCTTGGTTTTTTTGAATTTCAGAACAGACACATTTTGTAATATGAAAGCTTTAAAAACATGACTATATCAAATTTTTATGACAAAACAATGAGAAAATCCTCATATTTTTTCCAGATTTGCATTTAATTGATTTTGTTTCAGAAAAACATTAAACAACATGACTGACAATGTAGAAATGTATTTGCAACTTTTTTGCTACTGAATTGTAGCTAAATTCAAAAATTCTATAAAATTTGTGCAAAATATTTTTTTTAGCATCTTCTTCTTTAGTCATTTTTAAAACTTGTTTTAAGTTAAATGAGAAAATTGAAATCTTTTTTTTGCAATCATTACATGTTGCCAGCAAAATACAAACCGAATGAAAAATATATTAATACAAGCACTAAAAAAAATTACGTATTTACTCTTTCAAATTTATTTCGTGTACACGTTTTATAAAAACGCCCTGGGAAAAAGTTGCATCATTAAATCATAATAAATCTATGGGCTATGATTACATTCATACAGCAGTATTAAAAAATTTGGCCTCAATTATTTCAGCACCCCTCTCTATGTTGTTTATCAAATCATTTATTTCCTCTACTTTGCCAAACAAATTGGTCTTGGCAAATGTTGTTCCATTATTTAAAAAGGGAAACAAAATTAAACCTGGAAACTACCAACCTGTGTCTTTAACATCGGTTTTGTGCAAGTTAATGGAAAGTTTGAATAATGATAACTGAATTTTTCACTTAAATAGGAACAAACTAATTAATCCGAACCAGCATGGATTTGTAAATTCCAAAAGCTGTCTAACTAACTTGTTGAAAACTTACGATTTTTTTACTATCTAAATCTACCAGTAGATATTATTTACTTTGATTTTGCTAAAGCATTTGATAAAGTTTCACATAAAAAAAAAAAGTTTATTAACTAGGGAAATTAATCAACCAATAAAATAGATTCATTCTTTTCTGACCAATAGAAAACAAAGCCATATTAGGAAATTCTACATCAAATTGGATACAGGTATCTCAAGGCTCAGTGCTGGGACCCATATTATTTGTTCTAAACATTACTGATATGTTGGACAATAATAGGTGTACTGCAAATTGTTTGCAAATGAAACAAAGATATTAGCTACTGTTTCTAATGAAACAGACCATTTAAATTTACATGATGTTACTGAGCTAAAATATGGTCTATGATTTTTAACAAGGAAAAATGTAACGTAATGCAGTTTGGTCAAAGTAACTAGAATTATAGCTATGAACTAAATAAACAAATCCACAAAAGATTCGAAACTATCAATTGCATAAACCCTTTAAATACTAACCAACTGCATTTAAGAAATCAACACTATCATAAATCGCAATATCTTCAAGACATCAATTCCTAACTAATTCACTTATAAACTTTTGGTTTTGCATTTACTATTATCTTATTATTTTTCTATTTTTTCACGTAATTGATTGATTTCATAAAGGAATTTATGATAGACTCTAAGGTTGAAATGATTAACAACTTAAACTTAGCCTCAAAAAAAAGAAAATACCTATACAATCACCCTTTGCTAACGAAGAAAAGTGTATTAAAGAGGGCTCAAGTCAGTATAAAAATAAAACATAAAAAATGCATCATGCCGCAAACAGGTAATAAAACTTACGATTAGAGCAAAAATGTTTGCATAGTTATAATTTTTTTGATGATTTGTTTTTACTTCTTATAACTACATAAAAATGTTTTTTATTTTTTATAAATTTTAAAAAATTATTTATATACATAATTATTTTTTTATTTTTACACTATAGTTTGTCACGGTTTATATTTCATTATACCTTCAAATTTGGTCAACGAACAACAATAAACTTAATAATAGACTTTTTACTAATAATAAAAGTATAAATGAATTACTATACTCAATAAATTTATAATAATGCTGTGTCTAGCGCAACTGTATTATCGCTTAAATTTTTTTCTTAAAATCATGGTAGTGGTTTCTGATTGGTTGATTTTTTTTTCTTTTATTTAAAGAATGCAAGCACAAACCAAAACCCTTAATCTATAGATGTGCGCTCCACTTTGCCTATACCTAAATCAGTCAATGTATATGTGCTCCACTTCGCCTATTCCTAAATCTATCGATGTATGTACTCTCACTGCTCCTATCCCTAAATCAGTCAATGTATATACACTCACTGCGACTATCCCTAATTCAGTCAATGTATGTACACTCACTAAGCCTATCCCTAAAACAGAAACAATTTTTAGAAACATTTTCTTAAACATTTTTTTAGTAACATTTATATTTTTAAAAATTTTTTTTAGTAAAATTTATTTTTTCAAACATTTTTTTAGTAACATTTTTTTTTAAAGTTTTTTGATGCTATTATGACAATAAAACAAAAGCAACAAAAAAAGTAATTTTATAAAGTTAAAAGAAGTTTTAAAAATTAAGAAATTTCTAATAAAGAAAGACAACAAAGTAAAACAACAAAGACTAAATATAAAAAAGAAAAAATTAACGTTATTGATGTAAACTAAACTACTAAAAAAAAAAAAAAACTTCTGAATAATGAAAAAATGCATTCACCTCATGCATTATTCAGAGAAAGAAAAAATTCAAAATGCGGCTTTGTTAATATTTAGATAATTTGTTTTGGAAAACTTTAATTAAAAAATTATTTTCTCTTTGTTTATGAAATAAATATGAAGTTTTAAAAAATTATCCTAACGTTACCTTTGATTATAATGTTGAACATTTTTTCATTAATTAAATTAAGTTATTTTAACTATTATAAATTTTTAGTTTATTACCAGAATTTTATCATTGTTTGAATATACAGTTGCACCCATCCACTGATCATCGCGCTTTTCTTTACCAAAATTTTCTATAAGTTAAATTAAAATATTAATACATTTCTAAAAATATTTACAATAAATAAAAATATTCAAAATATGTTTTTATTAAATAACATACCAACTTGATCAACTTGTCTAAGCAGTGCACAAGCTGTACCACCTTTACATTCGAATACTGTGCCATATTGCTTCCCATCTCCAATATTAGTGACTTTACTAAGCGGAGCACCAACTATAAGTCTATATAAAGTTAATAATTTAAAAATAAAACTTAAATCAACAATCATAAAAAAATGAAAATAAAAATGGCAAAACAAACATTTATTTAAACTCTAAATAAATAAATTAAAATAAAAAATCTTTTTTAAATAAAATAAATATGGAAACATAAACATTTAACTTTAACTCTAAATAAAATAATTAAAATAAAAACACAAAAGGCCATTTCATTGTGTAGCTTGTTAAAAAAAATACTTATTGAATAAAATACTAATTTTTATTAAAAGCTGGTTCTTTGATATTCTTTTTTGAAGTAAACTAATTTGTCTAATTTAAGTGAAAAATCTTTAATTAAAAAAAATAGTTGCACGCATTCATGAAGACCACTAAAAGAATGTTTTAGCTGGTTTATTTTTATATCTTTAAAACGTATAACAAATATTATTTATGGTAAATAAAATTATTGAAAAATAAATTTTGAAACAAAAATGCTGTATTTATATATATATATATATATATATATATATATATATATATATATATATATATATATATATATATATATATATATATATCAAGCCTTCCCAGGAAAGGCGTGCGGTTTTTCGTCTCGTACGACCATGAAAACGTTTTTCAACTTAGAGAACGTGATCACGGCAATTTGCGCAAACTTTATTATATCATTGCTGAAAAATTGTTTTAAATTTAATAACTACTTAAAAAAATTAAAGAGAACTTAAATAGAAAACAATGATAATAGTTTAAATAATTTGTGTTGTTTTTATTTTTGTTTTTTTCTTAGTGGTTATTATTATTGGCAACAAAAAAAAAAGGAAAAAAAAAAAAAAAACGGTTTTAGGCGTTAAAAAGGATGGCTTTCCCATATTTTATGTGTTTTTTCTTTTGAAAAGGAAAGAGAAAATATGTATCATCATCTGTTTGTAAAATATATTTGTATAATTATAATGTAACAAGTTTATAGCATTTATTTTCTTAAACATTCTAAAAAAACATATATTAAAGTAGAAAAGCATCTAGAAAAAATAAAGCAGATATTCAAATATTAATAAAAATTCATTTTTTGTTCAAGCAATATTAGTATTCCCAAATTTTAATTGAAGTAGAAAAATATCTAAAAGAATAAAGCGGATATTCAAATATTATTAAAAAAGTTAGCATTTATTTTCTTAAACATTTTAAAAAAATACAATACTGATATACATAAAAAACTATTTTTTATATTTATATATCTTTTTTGAAAACAGTGTAAACTTATTGCTGTTATTTTAATATTGACAAGCGATTGTCCATAAATTATGCAACACAAAATATATTTTAAAAACAAAAGTAGGAGATATTAGGCTCCTTTATGATTTTCTTTAAATATAATGGACTATTTTGATTTTTTATTTGTAAAATATATTTGTATAATTATAATGTAACAAGTTTATATCAAGAGTTAAATTATACGATTGCGATTTGCAATCTCTGGTAAAATTCGAGGTCTTTAAAATTTTAGTTCATGCAAAGCTGTGTACTTTGTTTATAAGGAGCAAATTATTAAAAGTTTGCTAGCGAGAAAGTTACAAAAAACAAAACAAAAACAATAAACTTATGACTACAAAAGTAATAACACTTTAGTCTATAAAACGCTTTTAATTTTACTTAAAATGAATGATTTGCTATTACTTTAAAGAAACCATGCTAAAACGCTTTAGATAAAAGCATGCCTTTTTTTAATTTTTTTATGGTCATTTAAGTAAAGTAATGTTCATTTTCATACTAAAAACACTTTTAAAAGTTTTAAAAAGAATTTTCATGTTTTGCTGAAATATGTATAATATAATAGAATATATAGAATTAATTTGTTTATCATAATTAATTTATTATTATAGTAATAATATAATATTTTTATTATTATATACTTAATATTATAAATATAATAATATCATATTAAGTATTTAATAATAACTTAATATAATAACTAGATATAATAACTTAAAAAATACTTAATACCAGGGTGGCCAGCCATTTTGTACAATTAAATTCCCTGACTTTTCCCTGACTTTTTATATCTTTCCCTGACTCAGTTATATTTTAAAGTGTAAGCTTTATGAACAAAAATCCATCATGTTTAAATAGTAAATTACGTGAAGACAACAGTAAAAAAACGCCAAAGCACAATGTTTTTTAAAATTCAAACAACAACAATGAGCAACATCAACAAACAAAAATGTTCAATTTGGTGTTCTTATTTACTTAGAATTCACTTTGAAAATTGGCAAGAATTATTTTATTCAACAAATAAAGATGAATTTACTAATACTGCCAATTCCAAAAGTTTCACTTCACAAGAAAGTTTATCTACTTTTAGAATTGAACCATCTGTTACTTCTTGGGGTAACTTAGAAGTTAGCATTTATTTTCTTAAACATTCTAAAAAAATACAATACTGATATACATAAAAAACTATTTTTTATATTTATATATCTTTTTTGAAAACAGTGTAAACTTATTGCTGTTATTTTAATATTGACAAGCGATTGTCCATAAATTATGCAACACAAAATATATTTTAAAAACAAAAGTAGGAGATATTAGGCTCCTTTATGATTTTCTTTAAATATAATGGACTATTTTGATTTTTTATTAAAATCAAAACTCTGCGAGAGAAAACTTTTGAACTTTTTTGTATTGTTTATTGTGTAAGTTAATTTATCAGCCTTTTATCATGACAAAAAATTTTGCTTTGTGCAATTTTTTTTGTCTTGTAGAAAACAGCCTTTAACTATTAGTAATTTGCACGCACTTTGCAAACGCATGAAATATTGTATTGAAATAATAAAAAATTGTAAAAATTCAATGTTTAGAAAAATTAAAATATGTTTGACACATTTAAAAACTCATTAACTAGAATAAAAGTTATTTGAAAACAAATCTCCCTTATAATTTAATAAAAGATTATTTGAATAAAAAAATTATTTGAAAATAAAACTCTCTTATTTGATATATACTTCTTAAATTAGATGTTCGCCAATAAATAAAGGTACGAAGGTCAACGTTTATTTAAAAAAAAAAATTAGTCGTACCCTAATATATATATATATATATATATATATATATATATATATATATATATATATATATATATATATATATATATATATATATATATATATATATATATATATATGGGCAATTCCGCGAGAGTGGTGATCGTAACATTTGACACTCTTTAAGTTATTAAAAATGAACTGAAAACAGAAATGATTAAAAAAGTGAAATACTATCATATAATTTAGTATGTAAAAGTTACAGAATTCAAGCCTTCCCAGGAAAGGCGTGCGGTTTTTCGTCTTGTATGACCACATGCGAGTATCTTATTTTTATCAAGTTTTATAATAACACATGCTGAAAAAGTTTCAAAAACAAAATAACAAAACTAACAAAATAAAAAGAGATTAAAATAAAATAATAAAATAAAAGCACATTAATAGTTTAAATTCATTTGTGTACTTTTTTTATTTTTGTTTCTTTAAAGTGGTTGTTACATTCAGCAACAAAATTAGATAAGACGAAACAAAAAAAACAAAACAGTTTGAAGTATCAAATAAAAAGAATGATTTTCCTTTCCTTAAATTTTTTTTTAAGAGGATAGCAAAAATATAAATTGCAATGAGTTTGTAAAATATATTTGTATAATTTTAATGTAACAACAATAATTATGTAATAAAAAGGGTTGAATTAAGCGAATGCAAAACGCAAAATCTGGAAAAATATCAAAATTATTCAAAATTTTAGTTTATACAAAACCGTGTACCTTATTTTTATGGGGCAAATCAACTTTAATTTGTAAGCGAAAAAATAAAAAATAAAACAATAAACTTACGAATACAAAAATAATAACACTCTTGACACTAACTGCATTACAAAAGTAATAACACTATAATAGTGTTATTACCTTTATAACGCACTTATAAATTTTAAAATTCTTTCTTTGGTCATGCAACATAAGTAATCCAAAATTTTATTGAAGTTAATTTTAAAATTAACCAATAAAAATTTTTTATTGGTTGATTTTAAAATTAACGCGCGTTTTTACATAAAGTTTTTCATAATGCTATACTTTTTAAAAAATAATAAAACTCTTTTTTCGTGATTGAGTAATTTAACCCTTGATATATACTTGTTACATTATAATTATAAAAATATATTTTACAAACAGATGACGATACATATTTTCTCTTCTCTTTTTAAAAGAAAAAACACATAAAATATAGAAAAGTCATTCTTTTTAATGCTTAAAACTGTTTTTTTTTTTTTTTTTTTTTTTTTTGCTTTAACTTACTGAATTTTGTTGCCTATAATAATAACCATCAAGAAAAAACAAAAATAAAAACAACACAAATTATTTAAACTATTAATATGGTTTTTCTATTAAAGTTTACTTTAATTTCTTATGTAGTTTTAAATTTAAAACTTTTTTCAGCAACGCATATAATAAAACTTGCGCAAACGGCCATGTCTAAATTAAAAAAAGGTTCCTTGGTTGTGCGTTCGTAACACTTACTTTTTACCACTTCTGAACAAAACAACTTTGTCAGACTCAGTGCATTGAATGGCATGGTAAAAAAAAAAAAAGCATTTGGTGTGTGCGATTAGCACATTTTAATGTTATAATATATGTCAAATTTCATAGTTTTTACTTGAAGTTTTACAAGCATTTTTATGTTTTTTTGTTGTTGTGAAAGTCGTAATGAAAAATCCAAAAATAAAAAATAAATATATATATATATATATATATATATATATATATATATATATATATATATATATATATATATATATATATATAGAAAAAAAGTAAAAATAATTATTAACAACCATATATATGTTTAAAAAATGCAATATAACATGAAAGTTTTTAATTATGAATATATGGTAAGATTTTTAACACTACACAACAGGACTGTAAATAACAGATTGGCCACATAAAATTTTTATGAGAAAAAGAGGATATT